CCCCCCCCTTCTATCCAACTCCATACTTTCCTACCCTTCCGTTCCTTCCTGTCTAAACATCTGATAATAAAGCAATTATTATATTAAGATATTACTTATCTTACTTAATGGAAGATTTTTTTCTTTTACTGCAGCATTTTTGAATCGTTTAAAAACTGAATAAAGATTTGTTTGATAAAAAGTTATGTTTGCAGAAAAAATACTCTTATTTACCTATATAGTTGTAAAGGCCTTATTATAAGATGACTTATAATTTCAAACTTCTTATTTTCACGTTAATATTCTACATTAATTATTCCAATATGGAGAACCCTATTTACTACTATATTTACATTGTTTACTAATTACATTTTCCTTGCTACCATGGACCTCAGATTGTAATTATGATTTTAGATAATATTAGTTTTAAACAAATCACTGAAAGGAAATTTTTATTCCTTTCTTAGGTTTTCCTTTCACAATTCGAAAGGAACTGAGTTTTTGCCACAAACTCAAATATTCTAATCCCTATATCTTTGCTACCTTGTGGTGTGAACCTTTGATATTTCAAACTTAAATATTGGATCTAACAGTAAGCATAGTTTAAAATTTCAATGATCTACTACGTCAGGTTGCAAAGATATAGGGATTGGAAAATCAGAGATTTTTGCAAAAACTCAGCCCCTTTATCCTTTTTTTCACATTCACATATGTATTTCAACAAAGTTTTCATCGAACACGAAAGGGAAATTTCTGTATATCTTTAGTGCTTTTTCAAACTTCTAAACATAATTTTTAATATCTTATTTTACTAATTTAAACAAAATTATGAAAAAATTTGCATGCTTAAATTTATCAAATATGCTTCGCAGTTTGTAAGATGTAAAATTATTATATCATTTTCACTAATTGCACGAAGAACTATGATCAATATCTAGAAAAAAAACATACCTAAAGAATGAATATTGATCATGGTTTCTAAATAAGAGCTTTAGATAAAAGTACTGTAGAAAGAATCATATAGATTCGGCCTGCTTAGGAAAGGTTCCATCACCTTTTAAGACAGGGTCAACTTTGAAGTGTCGCAACGCCTTGGGCTCTAACTCACTTATGCTTTGTTGTAGCCCTATTACATTTACATGTACATAAAGCACTTGGCAAAATTAGCAAAATTCTCAACAATTTTTGCTTGAGAGGTTGGAACCTTTAAAGCACAGTGAATAGTAGACTATAAATATACAAAGCCAGTTAATTCAGTAATAAATCAAGTATTTAATAGATAGTATATAAAAGGTTTGGGATGGGTCTGAGTAATCCATGATTGTTTGGATTAGCCTAGGATTGGTCTAAGTATTTAAGGATTGGTCTGAGTAATCAAGGATTGGTCTGAGTAATTTAGGATTGGTCCATGAGCATTCCAGGATTGTTCGGACTACCCTAGGATTGGGCTGAGTAATCAAGTATTTGTCTGAGTATTCAAGGATTGATCTGAGTAATTCATGATTGGTCTGAGTAACTCAGGATTGGTCTGTGTAATCAAGTATTTTCTGAATCCATGATATTGATATGTCCTATATATGGGATTGTTTGGTATGATTTATGGGATTGATTTGTCTAATCCAAGTGATTAATCTGATTCGATTGTTGAGTGAATTCAAAAACTATGATCAGCGATATTTGTATTATATAGATATATGTTACTCACACTAGTTGTAATGTTTTTATATTAAAACATATAAATGTATCTAGATCCACTTTTTATAAATATGTAAATTGATCATTATTGCATGAATCTGACGCAACAAAAAAAACTAGTCAAAGGAGAAACTTTGTTTTCAGTTTTGAACGTGTTCTATTTTCATCTCTTTTATGTATTTTTTTTTGTCATTTTTGTGTTTCATTGGAGTTGATATTTTACAGTAAGGATGTATTTTTAGGCAAGAATGAAAGGATGGGGTTGTTCAGATATCTAAAAATAATCTTTTCAAGAAGAAAAATCTATTTTATATTGTTGTTTATTTTTTATTTTATAGCTTATATTTTACACATAGTTAAGTTCTGTCTCGTCTATTTTGTATTTTTTTAATTTAAGAGAAAACTCGGTAAATATTTTTAGAACAATATTTTGTTAATATTTTGGATTCATACAGACCTTTAAGATATCTTTACAATCCCTTTAATTTTGTCCGGCAACTTGTCCATTTTCTATAAAATTGTTAAACACGTTTTCTCTCATATATGCAACTAGTACTAGTAACCAACCCAATACAACACCAGCATAGACACCTTTTGAGATCTTTTCTAACTAATAACTACAAATACCACAGAATTATTTGGTTTAGGTTTAGAGACACTGCAAATGCATTCGATGCTTCTTCTAAACGTTACGTGATCACAAACCCTCCGACAGATTTTAATCTACTTCCCTCTGATCAGGTAAATTATAGACATAGAGTTAGTTTTTACTGGAGATTCTTTAATTCAGGGTTGAGGACAAGGTCAAGGACAAGGTCAAGGACAAGGTCAGGGACAAGGTCAAGGACAAGGTCAAGGACAAGGTCAAGGACAAGTTCAAGGACAAGGTCAAGGACAAGGTCAAGGACAAGGTAAAGGACAAGGTCAAGGACAAGGTGAGGGTCTTTCAAAGTATTTTCAGGTCACGCAGCAATTTAGGACAAGGTCAAGGACAAGGTAAAGGACAAGGTCAAGGACAAGGTGAGGGTCTTTCAAAGTATTTTCAGGTCACGCAGCAATTTGAGGTCAAGGGTCAAGGGTCAAGGATCAAACAAAGAAATGAAAAAAAAGTCTCGAATCTTAAAATAATTTTAAAGACTAATTTTATTGTCTTCATGGTAAATTATGAAGAATATCTAAAAACAAAATCAAAAGTTTTAAAAAGTTTTTTTTCAGAAGAAAAAAGACCAACAATCATTAAGGTTTACTTGAGAATTTAGAAAGGAAAGATTGCTCAATTTGAATTTATTTTTTCACTTTTCAGAGAAGTACATTTTTCTTCCTCCAAAACTATCATACATATGACAAAGATATTTATGCATGAAACTGGTTGGGTTTGAAAAAACATTCATAATGATGATACAGGCATGAACCTGGTTTTCCGATTGAAGTCATAACATTCATTTCAACATTTTTAAATTTTGGTAAAACATTTGAAAATACTTAACAAAACCAGCATGCGGTGTTAACATTTAATAACAAATCATATATATATATTCATAAATATAAATACACAAAGGAGACAATAGAATCTTTAAAGGACATCGATGTGCGATTTTGAAAAATTTTCTTTTTTTATTGATACGTTCTAAAATGGGTAAAACTGAGACTTTAATGATCTGACTTTTTTTTCTTCCCAAAATCTATTCTTCAATTAATTCCTTTTCAACCAGAATCAAAACCATTTTACAATCTTACCTTTACAGACAGAATTCTGTCCTAGAGATCCCTCATTTAAAAAGTTAAAAGTCCTATTGGCAACGGTTCCCATTAAACCCTTTTCTGGGCAAAAATTATTAAGATATCATTTGTTTTATCTGAGAAATAGAAAATTTTCAGATTTAAATTTTCATGGCAGAAATCTGATTCAAAGGAATTGAGTCTTTGTCACAAACTATGATTTTCTAATCTCTCTATCTTTGTAATCCAATGCCGTAGACCTTAGATATTTCAAACTATGATGAGAATTGACTGTTTACTTCTCAGGTCTATGTGCTCCAACCCTTTGAAAGGAAACAGAGCAGATTTAGTTTCAGTGAAACTATGGTTTAAACGGTACACGTGTGAAACCTCCCTTGTATTCTTAGGTTTTTGTTTTAATTGATTGGGCGAGGAGGAACCAATCCTCCTCGGTGTAGATAGATCTTACTAAAGTAAGCTAGTATCTAACATAATATTAAACCAAGGTATATATACATGTGTACCTGTGTTTTTTGTTTGGCTTTCATCTCATATCGATATTTTTAAATATACTGAAAAATGTGGACGCTTCGCGTCCACTTTTTCTAGACAATTATTTGCGTTCATTTTTATCCTTAACGAAGGGTTTGCTTACAGCTCCAGGAGGGAGAAACAAATTTGAAATCATGAATAAAATGGGAATTTTTTCTATTTGATGTCTCTGTCAAGTGATTAAAACCCCTTGAGTTACAACATAAGCAGTTAGCCCAAAATCAACCATTTCTATGGAGAAACCGGTTTCACCAGTTCCATTAGTTGGAAACAGCTGATTTTTTGGGTCTGTGATGTAGGTACAATTATCAAATTCTCTTTACAGAAACATCAGACAGAAATATAAATACTGTACCGTCCGATCCCTAATCAAGAATGGGTTATCCTCTAGCTATTTTCATTTTCGCGAACACTCCCTTTTTCCGCACCAATTAAAGGAAATGATCAGATAATTGAGAAAAAACAGGTGTCGAGGTAATCCAGAATTCTTTCAGAGGTTTAGAGCAGTCCTAACCCATACAATAGAAGTATAATTTGTGATTACACGGATTTTCTCCGATACATATTTCACCCTTTTATTCAAATATCTTAACATTTCCTTTCAATTATTTCTTGGAATAAAATAATTTGGAATAAGCAATTGAGTGTTAGCCGCAAACTCAAATTTACTAAACTCTATATCTTTGCAACCTGATGGTGTAAACCTTTTATATTTCAAACTTAAATTGGGAATTCATAATTTGACATATCCAGGGTCTACGACATTGGGTTGCAATGATATAGGGATACGAAAATCAGTGTTGTGGTAGAGACTCAAATCTGTCACTTGACTACAGACGATTCTTTATTCTCTAGTAAAATACCGAATAGCAAACAGACAAGTTGAAAATTTATATTTAAATAGATAAACATTCGCTTCAACTCTTGAGATTTGCTTAAAACTTGAAGAAAACAAACATTTTTTAAAGAAATTGTTAAAAATATAAAATTATGACTAGTTATCAAATCATGAAACTTGAAAAGTATAAATCTCTGATAGTTGAACTGAAAAAAAACATGAATTTAAAACATGATAAAATGATTACTAATCCTGCACTGTGCATACTACAGTGTACACTGTTTATCACCTATTGTACACCATAAACCCCAGCTACAGGACATCAGCTGGTTTATGTACACTAAAGGACATTAAAATACTCTCAGGAACAAAACGCTCCAATATTCATTAAAAAAAATATATGTTTGAAAAACCCGATTAGAGCAATATTTAAATTCTTAACGGTAAATGGAAAATGTCGATAATTTCTTCATTTTGACTTTCAAAGTTTGAGTTTTGCTAGTTCGATTTTTTTTTCTCTTTATTCAGTTGATATAAATATTTTTAACCAGTTCCAAAACATTTAACTTAACTTTAATTCTCTGAATACATTCCATTCTCCAATATAACATTGCAGAATACAAGAACATCTTTGTTTTCTTGAATCAACTTCAACAAAATTTTGTAGAAAAGTTTTTTCTCCGATGTACTGGTATATTTAGGTCAGTTATGTACATTGATTTCAGCTACGCTCACTGCCTATATTATCCATGATTACAAGGTGTTCTATGACAACCACCCGATTATATTGATAATATTTGATATTCTGCACATAACTATATTTTCCTTCAGGCCGGCCATATTTCTACATCATTAAACAACCTTTAAACGCTTGCAAGAAATTTTGCAAACATCAGCAGAGTTTTGCACAAAACAATCAGCACCAAACACAAGACAGTACAGTACAGCAGACCGAGGACTGTACTGTGTAACCCTGTCTGTACAACTGCTGTACTGTAGAATGTACATAATTTAGGTGTTTGTTTTGATGCAGTTTGATCCAGGGATGGAATATAGACCGGACTGGGGGGACGGTAGGTTTATTATTATTATTATTTTCATTATAATCATTATTACACGATTTGACTTTTTATTGGTAATTTAATTCTTCATCCTAAGATTGTTATTTCGGAAAAAAAATTATAAAAATATTGTTATATTTGATATATTGTCAATGAAAATGATCTTTTAAGTTATCACATTGCTTATCATTTATTTATCAGTTTGTATTAATCAATTTCATTTTCTATTTATATCGAAAATGTGAGATTTCGTTTTCATTCTTGATCATATAAAGCTTTTAAGGGTACCGTTGTGAATCATACATGCCACTCTATAAATTGAGAGTCATCTGGAATAAAAAATTTTAGAATTTTATTGAAAATGTTAGATAATTTAGATAGTTAAATTAAATCAGGCGTTGAGTTGGGATACGTTAATCCCTGCTTTACATATATTGACTAGAAAGCATTGGTAAGACTTCATAAACAGAGCTAGTACGGTCAAAATAATACTGCTTAAATTATTTATTGATAATAGTAGGGAGTGGAGCTGGGAGCTTACTTAACTTATTTAGTATCACAATAAAAGCAAATTTTAATTTTAAAACTATTTGAAAAATTAAACTACTTATTTATTCTAAATTCGCTTACAAAATAACAGTAGCCACAGAAAAATAAATGTATTTAGCTTTAAACAATATTTCTCATGGTTTAAACATGCTTTTGCTATGTAATAATATTTGAATCTAACTGAAAACTCATCTTTTACCTTAAAGCATTTTAAAATAAAGATACCGCTTTAAACAAAAATAGATAACACCGACACAAATATTAGTTTTTTTGATTTTTTACACCTTTTTTCATCTTCTAGAATTCATAGTTTAAAATATGTAAGGTCTCCGATATTGAGTTGCAAAGATATTTAATTAGAAAATCAGAATTTGTGACAAAGACTCAATTACTTTATCAAAGCAAACGGCGGTGCAGGTAGCCAATGCTAAAAAATAATTTTTAAATGTAATATTAAATTTACTTTTAAGTTTTAAGTTTTGACCACTGAAAGAGGAAAACATTAGTTCTACCAATTAATACAAGTTCCGTCTAATCAAAAATATTTATGAAACTGTACAGTGTACATTATTAATATATTTTTCATCAATGTTTGCCTTGGATAAAACGGTTTTCGATATTTCCTTCCGAGGCTGTTTTGTGTTTATTTAATATCAGGCCAATCCAAGCTTTTTTCTTTCTTAATTTATGATTTTGCTCAAACGAATACTGAGAAAGCTGTTAATTTACATACACAAATTGTTTTCCACGCATTTAATATTCTAAGGTCTGATAGATGCTTTAATAAAGAGAGCTTTGCCATAAAACATTAAATTAATATTTTCCTTAAATTTCTAAAATATTTAGGTAAGATGGGCGATAGAAAGGGTCGAGGGTATCCTGTAGGTGGACCTGGACACCCTGTAGGTGGTCCTGGACATCCTGTTGGTGGTCCTGGACATCCTATTGGTGGTCCTGGACACCCTGTTGGTGGTCCTGGACATCCTGTGGGTGGAGCCGGACACCCTGCTGGCGGGGCTGGTGTTGGTTCTGTTCATCCACCTGGGGGAGGGAAAAAATCCGATTCATCCTGACTATTGCTCTGTAGTGCACTCACAGACGGTCCATACTCATATATTTAATCCTTTATTAGATATGCTTAACTGTCATAGCTGTCTAGATATCCAGCTATCCAGCTATCTAGCTGTCTAGCTGTCCATCTGTTAATTCTTAAACATTTAAATCTGTATACTAGATGGATATGTTATGCTAGAATTTCTACTCTATAACAGCCAGGAATATAATATTTAAATTTGATCCTGGTTTTACAATTTTTCATTCCTGCTCTCGGGGTTCATCGGAGCAGTTTTACAGTTAGCTGGAGATATCCAGATTTCCTGAGTGTGCCTTGTCTTATCATGAGTAGAGAAGTTGGGGCCGTCACATAGTAATAGTGAGCTGCATTACTTTTATGTACACGATAAACTTTGCGGATTATTTTCATGTAATTTATGTACATTTTACAGAACTCACAGTTCTCTGCAGATATTTCGCACAATTTCAATTTAGAATATGTAAACCGGCCTGTATACACTGTACAGTTTTCAAGCCCCTCCCCACCTGTACACTGCACAGTATGTACTCCCACATATAGATGTACACTGTACATCTCCAACTTTTGCAGTGTACACAGCCCAAATCTGTACAGTCTGCCAGCTTTCCTCAAATTGTACAGTGTTTACTCCACCCCTCCTGTACCAACTGTACAGTGTATAGTGTACACTTTTTCAATGATTATGTATACCGTACAAGGACCAAAAAAGGTTGCATAACATTGTTTTCACAATTTATTTTTAAATTATCAGTAACGCCTCAATATAAAATTTGCAGTTAAACTTATTGAAAATATTTCAGCTTATTCATAGATATAAATAGATTACTGGCCAGGTTTTCTTCAAATGCTTTATTAGAGATATCTTGTAATTTCTCTTTGTTTATTCTTTTTATTGTTTTATTGAGTTTTTTTCTTTCTTGAATATGAGACTATTGTTATACCTTTATAATAAAGGGTTTAGGGGAGTCGAGGGGGGCAAATTTAAGTCCTTAAACATATTTATACAGTGAGGAACTAATGTTAGATGAAAAACAAGGAACTCGGACCAAATTTCTTTGTTTGATTCTGCAAAAGTTTTCATTGATTTTTTCCTTTTTTTCAAATTTTCCTTCCTTCTTCCCTTCCCCCCCCCCCTTTGCGCCTTTCTTCCTTCTCAATCAATCACAAATTCTTTCTTGTTCTTACTTCTCCTTCATTATATCTCCTTCCCACTCTTTCCTTCACTTTTTCTCCCTCCTTCATTTCTCCTTCCTTCATTTTTCCTTTTCTTTGTTTTCTCCTTCTTTCATTTTTCCTTTTCTCGTTTTCTCCTGTGTATGGTATGAATGTATACAAGATGATCATCGTATAAATGCACAACAAACTAATGAATAATTATCATTTAGATTTTTATTCCTTGGCTTGTTTATCAAATATTTGCTTTACCGAACCTGTGACTTTTGCTTTTTTTATCCGTGTTTTCCATCATAAAAATATGAATATATATATATTATATAAACACTTTGTTATTAATACAATATATTGAATAAAAAAGTGATGAAACAAAATTATAAATTTTTATTTAATATTGAACACTATAATGGCTTTTGCAGAAATATTATAGGAAGTTGATGAAAGAAGACTCAGAAAATTGTTTAACAGAGAGTACAGGACCGTTTTTTTTCAAAGAAAGTGTTTAACAGATTTTTTCTCTTTAATTTTAACAATAGGCTTTTTTAAACATGGGTGTGTAAAAGATGTAAAAGAAAAGTTATAAAATTTATTTTAAAAAAGAATACATAAGGCTTTCTAAAAAGAATGCAGTGATTTATTGGGGAAGTACAATTTTTTTTAATAAAGTAAACATACTTTAGAGTTTATAAAGCACTGCAACAGATTATTTAACGTTTCTGATCTTTTCCAGAAATTTTTATTTATGTGAAATTACATTTTCATATATCAAATAAAATTGCATGTCTCAAGAAGTTTAAATTTTAGTTTTAAAGCCTGCAAGGTCCTCACTCAGCTTCCAGAGTGTGTTTGACATATCGAGGTTTTCACCCAGGGGGCTCATCCAGCCTCGTCGCATATTCTAAACATATCAATTCAAGCCTCGTCGTATATTCTAAACATATCAATTCAAGCCTCGTCGCATATTCTAAACATATCAATTCAAGCCTCGTCGTATATTCTAAACATATCCATTCAAGTCTCGTCGCATATTCTAAACATATCAATTCACCCTCGTTGCACATTCTAAACATATCAATTCAAGCCTCGTCGCATATTCTAAACATATCAATTCCAGCCTCGTCGCATATTCTAAACATATCAATTCCAGCCTCGTCGCATATTCTAAACATATCAATTCCAGCCTCGTCGCATATTCTAAACATATCAATTCCAGCCTCGTCGCATATTCTAAACATATCAATTCCAGCCTCGTCGCATATTCTAAACATATCAATTCCAGCCTCGTCGCATATTCTAAACATATCAATTCCAGCCTCGTCGCATATTCTAAACATATCAATTCCAGCCTCGTCGCATATTCTAAACATATCAATTCCAGCCTCGTCGCATATTCTAAACATATCAATTCCAGCCTCGTCGCATATTCTAAACATATCAATTCCAGCCTCGTCGCATATTNCGGAACAACCCCGTGGTAGCTAGGGTTAAATGCGATCCTAGGATGGAGCGAAATCGAAGGGGGACAGGCAGTTGTGATTCAGCTCCCTTGAATTAAGGTTCCCTTGAAGAATTCCCCTATTTGATGAAACTGATTTGATTAACATTATTTAGTTTGTATAAGTGAAACGATGAAAATGAAAATGTAAAATGTCTCCTGTTTGATAGAACCGATTAGATTCATAACATTCAGTTTGTATTAGTATCGTTCGATTTAAAGTTTGTATCTTTTGTATATAAATATATTGTAAGAAAAACCGACTCGTGGAATATTTGAGAAACTCAGTGCATTGCGTTATTGATTTTTATTCATATACTATACTATTATTACTACTTTTTGTTGAATTTGAACTTTTTTCGCTTGAACTATTTAAAAATGTATAAAATGTGTACAAATGTATGAAAATGTATTAATAATTTCGATATTGATAACTTCAAAAAGAGCAAAGAAGGGGCGGCTAAAAATTTGAAAACCACACACATTTTTCGATTCCCTCCCACTTATATTAGGCCTTTGTTAATATGGACGTCTTGTTTAATTTGAGTTATTGTTTATTTGAACTTTTTGTTTACCGGGACTTCTGGTTAAAATAGACTTCTTTATAATTTGAACGTCTTGCTAATTGGGACATCTTGTTAATGAAATAAATTGTCTTGTCAAATTGGTTGAGTAAAAATGTATTTTAAACAGATTTAAACCACTTTGCATGGCAGTTTAAATCAGTTAGGATCTCTAGATGCACACCTAGAGGGGGACGGGGGGGGGGGGGGGTTGCAATGAGACCTAAAGAGTTTTCTGACGAAATATTGTATTTTGTCACCTACGACGTGTTAGACTTGTATACTTTATGAAACTATTGTGTACGTTATCATTCTTACTCACTTCATCGTTAAATTAGCTGTACACTATAGCACGTGTGCTATAAAGTTTTGATTGGTTCCCGGATTTTCTCAAAAAAAAAATATTTCCAAAATAATTTTTTTTCAATTGAAATGAAAATTAAATTGAAATCAACTTTATTTTTTGACTTCTGCTTTGTTTCAAAGCTTATTTGATCTATAGACATAACCATTGAAATAAGACAAGTATACAAATGTTTCAAAAAATTACCTAAAACACTATAATTTTGGCACGACGTGCTATAAAGTTTTTGACTTACATTTTCTCTATATCTCGAAGGTTCTCGCTTTTATAGATTATGTTTTGTTCCTCGCTAACGCTATGGACAAAATTAAATCTAAAAGACTTGAACCTTCACGATAAAGAGAAAATTTCAGTCCAAAAACTTTATAACACTGCGAACCAAAATAACAGTGTTATAAATAGTTATTAAACGTAAAAATCTGATTAAAAAATTTAAATTTACAATTGTAAAGAATGGTTTAAACTTCTAATTTTTTTTTGCTTTGTAACTGTAAATCTAAACACATTTAAAACTTACATCGTAATATCCGTTAGGTAGGTTGGGAGTAAGGCAGCAGTACAAGGAGGTTTGGGCACCTTGCTCAGGAGTCTACAAATAATTTCTTATTAAATGATTGAAAGTGAAAGTGATCATTTAATCAAAAAGTACTTTAAACTGCCTATTTGATTAAAAGTGGTACATAACAACTCCGCGATTTTTTATTCTGAAATAGAACGAGACCACGTCAAACTAAAGTAAAATGCAAGTAAGATTGACAACATATATGTTTTTGATCATAACTTCTGTTATTGAAGAGATATTGAAAAGAACAAAATTGTTTTGAATTTATAATATGTAACCGAAACAATTAGCTTTTCTTACACTGCACATGTGCGTAAAATTAAGAACTAGAGGAGCAACGGAGTCACAAAGCTGTGACAGTAATGTCAATTGAAATTGACCTTCTCCTTCTGGTTAGTTTTTTATTCTGAAATAGAACGAGACAAGTTTAGGCTAATTTTTTGCTCGTTTGCACAATGTTAGAACCAAGTTTGTAAGCTCTCAACTCTTTCAGTTTTAAGGACAAACAATCTCTGTTATTGATACTCCATTTGAAAGAATTCGTTTTATTCGTTTTATAGAACTATTTAAAGGGGGAGAATCATCTAAAACTACGTTACCAATCTTTAACCATTGGAATTATTTTAGTTTAAGCAATGATCTGGACTTTTGGAAAGAAAAATAAAATGAAAGAATTGATTTCTGGTGTTGAAACCTTAATCAGTTTCTCAAATGATTTCATCAGAATTAATCAAATTCTTCACGAAACATCATTTTAAACTTTAAAAGGATTCCATTTTCTTCAGTATTGAAAAGCATTAAATGCCAAGGTTGCAATGTATCATTAAACACCAATCTGCTATTTTTTTTGTGAAATATCTATCCCAAATCCTAGATTTAAAGGGAGTGTTCGTGAAAAATGAAAGGGCGGCGAAAAATAAGCGTTTTTGATCGATACTAATCTTTCTTCTATCTGTTGTGTCTATAAGGAGAAAATTGTTAAAAACGACTCATGCTAAATTACGTAGCGTACATAGAAATTCAGAAAGTTGCAAAATTCAACGCGGGTCGGAAAAAAAATCAGTTTAATTCCAAACAAATCATTCAGATATTACAAACAATAGTCATCGATTATTTTTCGACGTATTCGTATATAGTTTTATCTCATAATATTTTTGATTCTGTTTTTTAAAAAAATATTTCGCTGGCACTGGATTTTCGAACATTTCTGGAAAATTTGAAAATGTCGTCTTCAATATCAAAAATCCTAGAAACAGGAATAAATGTTTTCAAAAGTAACTATCAGATATAAAAAAAAAATAGCATGAGATGTCAACTATGAATGCGTCGAAAAATTACCAATGATTATTGGTTCTATATAATATATGAATTATTTGTTTGGAATCAAATAGATTTTTTTACGATCCGAGTTGAATATTGCAACTTTCAGAATTTTTATGGACGCTACGTTCTTCGGTCTTTAAAAACATAGATTTCAGTAGAAAACTGAATTTTTTTCTCTGTTTCACAATTTATGATAATTTTATATAATAATATTATTAAAAGAAAAGAGGATTGAAAACAAAAATATCATATATGAATACAAATATACTTTTTGACATAAAAGTCAGCTAAATAAAAGAAATAACGGCTATTCGATAACTTTATTGAATTTAAAATATAAAAGTTTGAAAAATAGTTTTCTATAGAGGCATCAAGATAAGAGGTTGGAAAATAAAATGTACTATTGATTATTGTGGTTATCATGATCATGAAGAATAGAGAACAGCTGGAGCTTCATATTGACAGCATGAAGGTTAGCAGCATCTTGACAGCAGGTTCGCTCCAATCTAGGCCTCAGTCTCGGTGAGATAGCAGCTTTGTATGATTGGTGGTGAGAAGTATCGCCTCCTAGGTTGCACGATACGTGATTGCTTTGTACTCTAACACTGTTGGCCTAGACATTAGCTGAAAGAATAGATATCTGTGGCTTCATGAAGGAGTTAGGTCATCCCTTTAAGCCGGAGTTGTTCACGTCTAGACGAATCCATCCTAACTGACGCTACCCTCCCCAGTAGGCGGAGAAGGAGGGGAGGGGGAGGAGGAGAGGGAGGAATGCTGACTGCAGATTGATCGACGGGAAAAAGATCCCATGTCTTGAGAATAGTACAAGTACGCGGTCAACTGTGCACATAAGCTTCATTGAGGATCATCTTCATAGTTTGAATTTGTTTTAACAATATTGTATGTAATTTAATGTTTAATTTAAACAACAGGGTGTCTTAAAAGATATTTAAGGGAATAATCAGGAAAAAAATCATTTCTTGCAGAAAATACAAGGTTTTTCGAGTATTATGTGTGTTTTGGCGTTAAAGCTTGGGGATAATCCAATATGATATGGCATGCTCTGTAGAAAATCAATCATTTGGCAATTGAGACTGACGCAATAATCCTATCAAAATTTGGACTTGAAAATGAACAGAAAGAATAACATTCCCAAATTTTAAAATATGAATAGAAGGAGAACTAAACTTTTCAGTGATTGTTACCTTAGCGACCCAGGAGAAGGCTGCGGCTAGAGCCGAGGTTACTTGCTCAGGAAGAATTTGAGGAATATTTTTGCCCAAGTTCGTAGATACACCGCCAGGGTGCAGGCTGTACACACTTACAGGGGATCCTGTATTACAGAATCGAGAATGTACAATGTACATTAGTATGTAAATAATTTGTGTAAAATAGAGTATGTACAGTGTAGTATGTACAGCATAGTATGTGCAGTAGAGCATATACAGTGGAACATGTATACATAGGATTGAGCAAGGTTGTAATGCATTACAACCTTGGGATTAAGTGCATATTAACCCCAGTCTGTTTTTCTATACTAGGCTTATTACATGGTAACATTATATTATAAATGATGGTTTGTAAACGCTGGAAGATAACGCCAATTTTATCAATTCAGAACTCTAAATTCCTAAATATTTCTTTAATATCATGAAAAAATCAATTAAAAATTCTAAATACCTTATTAAAGTAACACACATACCCTCCATTTACTTTCTTTTATAAATTATATTTTTTAATACGATTTGTTTTATTCCAATTTTACTTTTATTTTTCTACAATTCTTTACCTTTTAATCGTTTAGCCAGCTCAGTTGAGAATAGCACGTTGGCAAGCTTTGTATTGGAGTAAGCAAGGATACCGTTGTACCTAAATTATTACACAGTATCATGGTAACATCCAATATTGTACTTGATTAGGGATTTCAAAAGTCTCAGAATCTTTCTTTCATTGAAATTTTTGATCCAAAAAAGTCCTCTATAGTTTATTCTATTGTTCTATATCGTTAGAATTTAGCAATTAATATTACATGTTTACCTACCTAACCATTTCCCAGTTAACGTCAGTTGGGATGCCAATAGACAGCCTAAATTATTAAAATATAGAATTGTATTCAAAGAAATCACATTCACAGGATGGTCCAATACAAATTCCGTTTATCTCCTTAGCGTTTTGCAACGCTGCCAAATCTAAGGCACCAGCCAAATCCTTTGCTCAACAGTCAAATCTGTGGCACAGCAGCCAAACCTGCGGCACAACAGCCAAACCTGCGGCACGGCAGCCAAATCTGTGGCACAGCAGCCAAATATGTGGCCTGGCAGCCAAATCTGTGGCCTGGCGACCAAACCACCAGACAGCGGCCATACCTGTGGCACGGCGGTAAAATCTGTGGCACGGCGGCCAAATCTGTGGAACGGCGCGGCGGCCTTCTTAATTTCTATTATGTTTCTGAACAAAGTTAACTAAAACATTTTTAAAAAAATTCTACGTGAATAATCTGCACAATTCTTGAAATTAAACTTTATAAAGTAGCTTTTTAGATTCGTATATTTTAAAACTAATATCGGAGATTTTTCTGTGTTTTTCTTTATATATGGTTTTTAAATTGTAAGTCTTCCGGCGACCACAAATCATCCTTAGGCGACACGTCAGGTCCCGCATAATAGCTGGAGGGCCAAAGGGTGCAGGTGTTTATATGTGAGTTAAAACAGAAACCATGCAAGTGCACAGACAAGGCAAAAGTTTGATATATTTACCAATGTGCTACACTGGAAACATTGATGATTCTGCCCCCATCCTGAGCCTGACGTTGTTTTGTTTATCAAATATTTATCAAACTTTATCCTAGTACGGAGGTGGTGCAATCCAATCTTAGGAAAAAAAGTTTTCATATAGAAAAAACGCAAAACAAATGTTTTTGAAGTTAAAGGTTCATTGAGAAAGTTATGAACATATTTTTATCTTAAAATCTAGAATTTTTAATAATGAAAACTAGTGGGGTTGGTTGTTGAATTCTCCCTCCCTTTAAGGAAACTAATGTAGTTTTTTTTTTGATAAAGTTGATAACATTGATAAATATTCCTTAATTTTATCCAATAGAAGGTTTGTCAGCAGGAAGTGACTCAGATGGTTGACCTAAAATAATGACGATAGTAAAAATAATGATAGTGAAAATAATGATGATAGTAAAATTTATGATAATACTGAAACTAATAATATAATGATGATGATAATAGTAAAAATAATAATAATAATAATAATAATAATAATAATGATGATGATGATGATGATGATGATGATGATATATTACTAGGAAGAATAATAATAATAATAATAATAATAATAATAATAATAATAATAATAATAATAATCAACCTGAAACTGGAGTTCGTATCCATCTTCTGTTAAAGTTTTCTCAGTAGTAAAGACACCAGCATTGTTTACTAGTATATCAATGGAGGGTTCGCCCTTTTAACAGTAAATTATTCATTCTGTACGATCTACCTTGCATCAAACACAACATAATGGTTACGGATAAATACGTTTTTTATAAACTATAAGTTTAAACGAAAGGAATAGAATCTTTGCCCCAAATAAAATTTTCTAAGCCCTATATCTTTGCAACTAGGCGGTGTAAACCTATACTATTTTGAACTTAGACTATTTGATGTAACATAATTCATAGTTTGGCAGTTAAAAAATTCTACGACATTTTGTTGCAAAGATATGCGATTAGAAGACTCGAATCCTTTTCAATGAAAAAAGTGGGGAAATGGACTTTGACCAGCAATGTTTACTCCAATAGACAGGTTGGGTGCCCAAACCAATTGAGAAAATTATCCTTGATAATCACTCTAGATGTAAATTCGGTTTATTTGATCAAGATCGAATGAAAACAAACTTGATGAACTTTCAAGATTTTAAAACAGTATTATGTTCCGCTTTCATTAAACTTTACAAACCATCCAAAAAGTATCCAAAAATTATCCAAAAACTATTCAAAAACTATCCAAAAACTATCCAAAACTATCCAAAAACTATCCAAAAACCATCCAAAAACAATGTAAAAACTATCCAAAAACTATCCAAAAACTATCCAAACCTATCCAAAAACCATCCAAAAACTATCCAAAAAACATCCAAAAACAAACCAACTGAAGGCACATCACGATCTCTAGCCTCTAGGTAGCTTATAGTACGAGACAGTGACAATGTGAGACATGAATCCGGTTTTAAATAAAATCCCAAATACTGACATTCGAATGAATGAATCAAGTCAAACCTGTCAGCTAAATTTCCTGCTAAGCGGCAATTAGCACTGTACATTTAATTAGATTTATATTTTACGCTAGATTTGATATAGCCATAAGTTATTGGGAACTTAAGTTAAGGACACTATATTGATATTTTTAGAGAGTGAAATTAATTTTTAAAGTCCCAAATGTACCATTTTGATATTTTTTTCTTCAGAATAATGCCAAACAGTGAGACCCAAAAAATGCTTGTTTTAACTTGTTGATCCAGACTATAAATACATTTGAATATCGGATTGTTGATCCAGAATATATAAATACATTTGAATATCGGATTGTTGATCCAGACTATATAAATACATTTAAATATCGGATTGTTGATCCAGACTATAAAAATACATTTGAATATCGGATTTTTTTGATTTTTTACATTGTCTCATCGTGCAGACATGAGAAGAACTATTTGATCATAAAACGAAACACTGTTTTAAAGATTACTTTTAAAAATATATTTTCTTGTCTGTCTGTTTGCATCTATAAAACGTGAAAACGACTGAACCAATCGGACCCTAATTGTGTGTGTACCTCGCAAGACCCCATGGGCTAGGCAAGGTTTATGAATACTCAAAATTACAAAAATGGTGCCCGAAAGCTTTTGATTTTTTGTGAAATTTAAAAAATGCGCGAAAAAATATTTGAAAATCCACGGACTTTTTTGTTATTGTTTTTTACTGTACGATGCTCACAGATAGAGCAACAATTAAAAGTTAAAATGGGGAATAAGCGCGAAGCGGCCTAAAATCCTAGTTTAAATAAAAATGAATAGTTCCGTTTCCTTGATAATTGTTGAACAGAACTCTTCAACAGACTTGAAGGAGGCAAGATCTAGCTTCAGGAACACCGCCTGGCAGATAGATACAGGGTGTACCAACAAACATAAGAATTGAATGACGATTTTAAAATTGTAAATAGTTTCGGATTTGGTATAGGGAGGCTAGAGTTTAGAATCTGTTTTGGTTATTTTTTAATCGTAAACAGTTGTACTTCATTAAAATGAAAAAAAATCTGTTTCTAGTTATCTTGCAGAAATATTAGAGTTTTGCTTATCTTTGAGATAATTAAATATACTGCAGCAGACGTAACTCTATAATGAGTTGTAAACTTAGGTATTATTCTTAACAAAGAAGTTCTTGAAGTCATACAATTCCCATGTTTATTAGAACATTCTGTAGATATTATACAGGGTTACCCACAAAGGATGAGACTTCAGGGACGACTGAATGGAATTTCTGCAAGCTTTGTTTGGAGCTTCATCAACAGCAATTGTAAATCATTTTAAGCCTACAGCCATTAGACTAAATCCTTTGTGGGTAACCATCATGTAATCCTGACTTTCCCTCTATAAAAGTTGTATGATCCGATCGAGTCGGTACAGCATGTACACAGAACTGTATATGTATTCAGTCTCACTGTCCAGTTTTGTCTACCCAGCGTAGTGTTGACCCAGCACGTTTTATGCAACAAATGTAGTCTGTGTCGACCCAGCACCTTTTATGCAACAAATGTAGTCTGTGTCGACCGAGCACGTTTTATGCAACAAATGTAGTCTGGCAAGATCACAGTGCCTGAAATATTGGAACTTGAACTAACCTTCCCCCCGGCCTTGCTCAGCTCCCTAGCAACTGCCTCTCCTTTCAGTTGGTCTCTGCAACCCAAAATCACCTAAATTATTAACCTTTGTAAAGACATCTGTTGGACTCAAGATATTATTTTAAATTGTCCAATGAACATTTAACCCTGTTCCTGTAAACGTTTATTGGACATAATTCAAAAAGTATTGGTCTGAGACTGGTCAAATAATTTTTTTCATTTTTCCAACCTAAACATGCCCATCACAATAGGTTATAAATTGGGCTTTTGCATCTACTGTTTGAGTCCTCAGGCATACTGCCTGAATCCCTTATTTTACCTATACTAAACTTATATTTAGATCAACTTCCAGTCATTGGTTTTCACAATTTGTATAGCTCTTTTTATAGCAGATTGCACAATTATTTCTAGGAAATTTTGCAAAGGATTTTGCACAGTCGCTATTAAATTGATTTTGCCTGTTTTAAGTTTTTCTTCAATAAATTTTTTTTGCAAATTTTAAAAATATTTTCGAATATTTGAATTTGCTCAGGGTCCGGGTGAAGGACGTTTTAAAATGTTTAATTTGTCATAATTCGCGCATTTTTTTGTACATTTGCTAAATAACCGGATTTTGCAACAGATATTTTCAATTTTTTTTGCAGATTATGAATGTAGAGCCTCATGGGCTTTCCAAACATGTATCAAAATGCTATAGGTGTATCACAATAAGAAAATAAAGGGGAACATTTTTTAAATGTGATGGTTTTTGACCTTAGCCCCACGCTTAGAGAGTTCCCAAACAGTTTCTAAACCAATCCCAGAGTTTGCTCCGGTCACCACAGCTACCTGCCCATCCAACCTAGAGAAATGTATTACATTAAAGGGACTGAACACGTGTTTCCTAGTAAATCTCACTTTGTTAGAGAAGCATACAAGTCCTGTTCCCAACGGTTCCCTTTCAACCTTTGCCTGATCAAGGTTTAATGTTTTTCAATATTGGTTTCTCTATTAATCTTTGCTTCAGAAACAAATAAAAAAGATTAAAAAATATATTTAGATTGAACTTTAAACTAAACAATTATAGCTTTGTCTGAACACTAAACTTACAATATAAAGGTCAACTCACTTAACTTAAAATTGTTAAACTAAGCTAATAAATTTCCCGTAGTTTTACCTAATCAAAATTAGAGCCAAATCTGCCAAAGGGCTCATTAGTTGTGATCGGACAGACAAAAAACAAACACACAAAAAGAGATTACTACTTTATATAAAAAAGATTCATGTAACAATATTACAGTAACATTGTACATGTAACTAAATAAAGCGTAACTATAGCTCCAATTCTAAAAAGTCTCGAATACCTGACTTTTAAAAATATGCGCACAGCCAGCAGAAAACCATTTTTAAAAGAAAAAAAGACTGAATACAAATCTGCATTCCTAGCTACTTAATGCTCATTAGAAAGGAGTAGGGGGAGGTAATAAAGGTAGGTTTAGAACATACCTAGTGTTCGGTAGAGTAGGAGTTTTCGCGCAGAGAACTCCTTTCACGGATTCTACTCCCAACTGTAAACCACTCTAAACAGGAAATGATAACAACCTTAAAAATTGGTTTTGACGAAAAAAAACTAAAAGCAAAAGTGAAACCTGAAATTGTGCTTGAATAGTTTCTATCAGTGTTGCTAACTCCATTTTTCTAGCAATAAAAATTTATTTCACAAAATGCCTCAGATCCTGTAAAGGGACTCTATTGGCATCATTGTAACCCTCAATATAATGGTGGCATGTCCGATTCACTGTAGTCTCCTATACATCTTTATCTGAGTAAAAAATGAGGAAAATATCCTTGTTTTTCTCTCAGATTCAATTAGGATCTTTTAAAGTAACTTGCGGAATTATGCAGCAAAAACACTGGAAGAAGCTCTTTGCGATATGGCAAAATTGATTCTCGTGAAGTGTGCCGTTGACCTCCCCCCCCCCCNCTTCCTTAACCTGACCTAACCTAGAATAGTATAATCACGAGTGGTTGGCTGAAATGAAAGTTTTATAAATCTTAAAAATCTTGTAAATCTTTGTGTATTTTCGTCTTAAATATTTGGTTTCAATTAGTTTTAAAAAAGTTTCAGCCAGGATTTTATCCCTAATCTTATCAAAACTAGATAACACAGAATCCTAACAGATTAAAACACTGAGGCTTCTGATTTAAAAGCATCAATCCTAATGATAAATAGATTGTTAAAGATGAACTTAAAAATTAAAATAGAGCCCTACAAGCCTCTGTCCGTGAGTTTATTGTGTAAAAGTTAAATACGTCGCGTGGGGAACTGTGTGCGTCATTCTACATATAATTGGCAAATATAGATGTTAGATTTTTTATTCAAGGAATCCAAGTTTAGTTTAAGTGTCTACTTTATTTACCCAATGTCCGGGCGATACAGTTCAAACTGGGACAGGAAAGGTTGACCCGACTCGGAAATTCAAATGTACTACGGCTGCCCGTGCAGGGTTCTGACCCAAATCTAACACTGAGTGTTAGAAATGGACTTCATCGCAGTTTGGTTTAGAAAATAATAAGATGAACATTTTTCTAAATTGTACTGTTAAATATGGAATATAGGCAGCAGTTACAACAAAAACATTTATTTCAAGTTTTAATTGCTAATAATGAAGGACTTAATTATGATTAGTTCATCCTAAATATCTTTAAAGATCTCCTCTCTACCCACATAAAAACGTTCCCATGTAAATAGAGGATGAAATGTAAATAAGATATTCTTTCACTTACAACCAAGTTTTTCATTTGAGATCAATAACAAAAACCCGCCATTTTACATAAGTGAGGCTTTCAAAACAAACTTAATGCTTCATTTTAATTAAACTATGTTGTAAATCATCCTGACTGAATGTTTCCAATGAAAATATCAGGCGTTGCATTACTCTCCGTTCTCTACACAGTCTACACATCTAATGATATAGCAACTTATTATTGTTCTCCACAGGTTCTTAAGATTTTAATTTTTAAACTCCAATATAAATTTGTTCAAAGATTACCTAATATCTTAAAAAAATATTTTTCAAAATTTTAAAACTTCTATTTATTCAAAATTTATGGCAATGAATTTCTGCAGAGCTACTAAAAAAGCTTGATAAATATATAATTACTGGAAGAATAATCGCCATCATTTGCATTTGAATAAGTAGCTGACTTAGCAAAATAAAAGATCATTTAAGTTTTTTTTCAAAGCAAAAAATAATGACCGAGGTTTTTAGGATAGACCGGCTATTTAGGGTAGTTAAATTAGTATGCAGGGTTGTGGACAAATTCTTAAGGATTCATTTGAGAAATATAAAACGTGTCTATGATGTATAATTACTGCGTTTGAACGCAAAGTCGACGTTAAAAATCATGAATGTGGTTGAGTACGTTTTCAGAATCTCGTTTTTTAATTATCAAAAAACGACGACGAAAAATATAGTAAAAATTCTATAGTAAAGTAATTAGATGTTTAGGAACATATTTCTCAAAATAAATTAGTCAATAAATTGAAGTTAGAATTAATTATTTCCTTTTTCATCATTACATTCAACTTTTTTATCTTCTATGAATTTGTTCGCAGATTTCTTCAAATTCTTTAAATATTGTCTTTTTAATAAAAATTCCAGAATATCTGCAGAAAATCTTTGTGATTAAAGAGAGATTATAGAAACTAATAATTGAATAAGATTACTTATTTTCGATGATAAGAGTTAATTTTTATTTTCTCAACCTGTTCCTAAACAACAAATTAGTTTACTGTAAATTTTTTTTTAAAATTTAATATGTTTCAAATAAATCCTAAAGAATTTGTCCGCAACACTGCATACTCAGTTTAACTACCTTACATAGCCTGTCTGTCCCTTTAAGGAATGCGTACTGAAAGTTCTTATCCACAATGTTTAGTTAATTTTCAAATTTTATTGTAAACGCATCAATGATTCACAAAATTCTTGTTTTAACGTATTATACTGGATTGCCAATGCATCAATGCACACATGGGGTTCTTTTATCAAAGGTTTGTGTCGAACTAAGTTGTGTGATGTGCAGTATACCCAGTTCGTATCTTACAGGACGAATTTAAGAATACAACTTCTTTGTGGTATCATTTCAAACTTAAACAATTTACAGGCTTTGTTAAACTCCGTAAGTTGGATATAAAAAGTTTCATATAAAATATCAAATTTTTCGTGGTGTCATTTTGTAAAGGGGGCTGACAACTCAAATTTTGGGGGCACTACCTTAGCAATTTAAGTATCGATAGTAGCGATATATTAGTGTAGCGTTTTATAGCTACACGTTTTTAACTTTTGACTGAGCATTGAGGACAGAAAACTCTAGACAGAAAAATTCGTATTTGTTATTGAAATTATCATGGATTTCCTGTCCCTGTATTAATGAGATTATTATATGTACTTCCTGTCCCTGTATTAATGAGATTATTATATGTACTTCCTGTTCAGTCCTAATGAGATTATTATGGACTTTCTGTCCCAGTGTTAATGAAGTTATTAAGGACTTTCTGTCCCTTTGTTAATTAAGTTATTGTGGATTTCCCTTTTCTGTGTTAGTAAGATTATTATGGACTTCCTTTCTCTATGTTAATAAAAATATCACGGACTTCCTGTCCTGTGCTAATGCGATTCTTATGGACTTCCTGTCCTTTTCTAATGAGATGATAATGGTGTTGTCGCTAAGGAACAAGATTCTGACGATGAACAGATAGACAAGGAATAACCCTCAAATCAAAATCGATAATGCAGAAAACTCTTTATTTCCTAAAAAAAATGAAATGAATAATGATAAATAATTATTACAATGGTTTACAAATTTATAATGAAAAGATTCTTACGATCTATTTGCTTATTTGTGGGTTAACTGTCGAAAAGTCCTAAGACGCTTTTTTTATACATTAAAACTTCTGAAAAGATTAACAATTAAATGTTGATGAAAGTCACTAATTCTTTAAATGAAAATATTCTTGTTTAACTTTGAAATGGTTCACAATTGATAAACGTTTTTACTCCGTTATCGGAGAACAAAGAAGAAAAGCGGGCTGAAATTGTTTGGTTTGGTTTCTTGTCTCCGAGAGGAGCTTTTAGGTTGAAGACGACATTACATGGAGGGGGGGGGGGTCTTAATGTTAATGGTTGACAAATGGACTTTCTTCCTGTGTTTTAACAAAATTACTGTGCGTTTACAGGCAAATCTTATGGGGTGTGGATCTTACGCTTCCAGGAAATTTGGCGAAGCAGAAACAGATTGTGATTCATCTATTAAATACTTTGTCTATGGATAGGTTAAATTCAGTGAGAACTCACCATCCAGAAATTATATCTTCAGCAACAACTGTTATGAAACTTTATAAGCTTAAAGTATTATACAAGTCACAACCTTATAGTGAATTGTATAGTTTCAGATATAAGCATGGATATTACGTATCTATATATCATAATCAAATTTTACTAAACAAGGGATGTAATCCGTCGTCTTTGCAATAAAAAAGAGATCAGTGTTCAAAGGGAATCTGTGGTTTAGGTTTAAAGAGCTTCCCATATCATATTAGATTATTTCCAAGGTTTAACGCCAAAATAAACCCATAATACTCGAAAAAACTAGTATTTTCCGAAAGAAAATTCTCACATTAGCCTGATTCAATTTTTCAAAATAATTCATTTTTCTTAAATTTTCTTATTAGTCCCGAAAATCGTAATTTAGACCGATTGACGATCTGATATTAATGATGTGTATGTAAGATATCTAGATCCGAGATAACGTAATGATAACTCTACTCAAAGTCTAATTAGAATCTAAATGACTCTATCTCTCGCCAAACAACTGGTTCTCTATCCTTAGCCAAAACTCAAGGCTACGTTACGTCCGTATTAAACGAATAATCGTGTTGAACTAATTTATTTTATATACAGGTGAAATTAAACTGACCGTAATGGCCAGTAAGGGTCAACATGAAATATGATAAGATAGATAAATGAATATAGATAAATCAGATATTACTAGCATGGTTACATAATTCATTACATGTAGATCGGATGGTGACATACAGTACTTCAGACAATTATGTATTGCGGCATCTGTCTGTATCCATTGTACACAGCTCTGAGGGTAAAGAATCTATTTACAGCTTTTTCCCGACCTTTATCTTAAAAAAAAACAATGCTGATAAATACTGCAAATTAGGAGGTTTAATAGTCCTAAAGTATTGATATAAAGTTTCATTAATGCCTTCAAAATCTCTCAATGGGCACAACTACGCTACACTTCTTTGAATCATAATAGATTAAAACAAAGGTAAGACCATTAATTATAACTCACTTTTAATTATTATTTTTGAAGATTTTATCGAATTGAATAAGTATTCGGCGCAACAGGGCTGTCCCTACCCCATTCCATGTATTTTTTCCGTAAATTGTTAAATATATATTAATTATATAGAGAGGATGGGGGAATAGATCAACCATTACAAATTTTGTACTGTGGTATATTCACGGTTCTAAACTAAAAATCTTCTAAAAAGGAATATTTAACGAATTTTAAACAGAAGTATATTATTTGTGTGTGCCTGACCATGTTCATAGTTTAGGTTTTATAATGCCAAGACAATTGGAGAAGATGGAAGATACAAGAAAACAATTGTTGGAAACTAAATTATCCAGAAGTTCACACATAAAGAAATCACTAAGAAAGAAAAACAGCGGAGAACTTTGCAAACGTTTTATGGATAACAAATGAAAATCTTGGTTTTTTGTGACAAATTTTTTTTTTATTGAATTCTTGTTATGCAATTCAGGCCCACAGGATTTAACATGCTTGTGAGGAAAAATCATGTCATTATTTATTTGTCACTTGATCTGTAAGTGTTCATTTTCAAATATTACTCACCCCCCCCCCCCTCCCCAAATTTAGAAGAATTAGAGAAATTTTTCATTAAAAATCCAGCCTTAAAATCTTTATTCATGCAAATTTTCGGTTAATAACCGCCGCCCCCCACCTTCTCTCTAAATGAAAAAGAAGAGGTTTGGGTTACCGGATGCCTCCCCCCCCTCCCCCCAGTTTAAACAGTTTTTGCCCACAAACATTAAGGAGAAATCGCCAATAATTGCATGGTTGCGCAGCTATTGTTCTCTGCAGTATTCTTGAACCATTTTATATACCAAGATCAAGCCATTTTGGATGTTTTGCATTATGTTTTTTTTAATTTTTTATTTTGAAATAAGTATGACCAATTGCTAATTTTTTTTAATATTTGAACTTTTGACAAACTATTTTGATATACGAATATTAATTTGAAAATATGTATTAATTGCTTTCTGCAGTTTGATTTATAGAAAGATACTCTGGGGCCGTAGAAAATTTGAATTCGCGTTCAGACTTTTTACAATACCAGAGATGAGATTTTAAAAGCTTAAACCCGACTAAAACCCGGTCTTTGATTCATAAACCTGTCTTATGGTTACATGGATGAATTGGATAATTTGGATTAGGAAAATATTTTCTTTTTCTAACTGCATTGACGAAATTTAGAATAGTTTGTTATGGGTTTAACAGAAAGAAGAAATCGCGACCATTATCGTAAATTTGCTTGCGGTTTGCGCGAAAATGAATTTCGTCCAAACAGTGGCAATTGCTGCGTGTAATGCACGTAAGAGGAAGTTTGTTTAGAGAGATATTTGGCGAATTTTCCATATTTATTGAATATATCTTGATATATCCTACAGCCAATATAATATCGTGAAGGTAAACCTCAGTTTAAGGCTGATAAGACGTAGGTCGTTATACAACAGTTTTAATACACTCTAAGTCATTTAATGAATATCGCAAATAAATACGCGATTCTATAGAGCCTCTTAATTCCAATGTTTATTTCATAAATATTTGGACAGGAAGTTTCAAGTTGATGGCTTTAATTAGCATATTTCATGTCTGATTACATAAAAACCAAACAATGCTTTAGGCCAAACAAGTTTAGGAACCCTCAACCGAAAATAGAATTAAAAACTGGAACCCTCCAATATGATTTAGAACAGGAACCCTCCAATATGATTTAGAACAGGAACCCTCCAATATGATTTAGAACAGGAACCCTCCAACATGATTAAGAACAGGAACCCTCCAACATGATTTAGAACAGGAACACTCCAACATGATTTAGAACAGGAACTCTCCAATATGATTTGGAACAGGAACCCTCCAACATTATTTAGAACAGGAACCCTCCAACATGATTTAAAACAGGAACCTTCCAATATGATTTAGAACAGGAACCCTCCAACATGATTTAGAACAGGAACTCTCCAATTTGATTTAGAACAGGAACCCTCCAACATGATTTAGAACAGAAACCTCCAACATGATTTAGAACAGGAACTCTCCAACATGATTTAGAACAGGAACCCTCCAATATGATTTAGAACAGGAACCCTCCAACAAGATTTATAACAGTAACCCTCCAATATGATTTAGAACAGGAACCCTCCAATACGATTTAGAACAGGAACCCTCCAATATGATTTAGAACAGGAACCCTCAAATATAATTTAAAACAAGATTCTCAAGTCTAATTTAGAACAGGAACCCTCAAATCTATTTTAGTACAGGAACCCTCTAATGTGATATAAAAAAGGAACCCTCAACTACAATTCAGAACAGGAACCCTTAAATAAATTAAGAACAAGAACCTCAAGTCTGATTCAAAACAGGAACCCTAACATGTTATTTAGAACAAGAACCTCAAGTCTAATTTAGAACAAGAACCTCAAGTCTAATTTAGAACAGGAACCCTAATATAAAATTTAGAATAAGAACCTCAAGTCTAATTCAGAACAGGAACCCTAAAATATAATTTAGAACAAGAACCTCAAGTCTAATTCAGAACAGGAACCCTAAAATATAATCTAGAACAAGAACCTCAAGTCTAATTCAGAACAGGAACCCTAAAATATAATTTAGAACAAGAACTTTAAGTCTTATTTTGAAATGGAACCCTCAAATCTAATTCATTCATGTTGATTTGATATTTAAAAATTTCGTCATCTTATTCCACAGTTTTATGGATCCCACTTTATGTAAGAGTCAAATATGCCAAGGTAATGCGACATTTGAAAGTCGATACAGTCTTAAGCATCTTTTCATTGCAATCTGTTTCTATGGGACCATAATGTTCACATATTCACCTAGAGATGTTTTCTTAACTTAAAAACCTGTGTTCACTTGATTAATCGGTAGTACAACAGGATACGTACTACGTATGAAGCACTATCTAAATACATATTATATGTTGTCAACATTACGGCTGCAGGCTTAAAGGGACTGTTTAGATATTTCAGATAAAATATAATTTACATCACTCATATTAAGTTTTAAAGGATAATTCTGTGAAACCCCAAAATATTTCTAGTTTAAAATCAATAACTATTTGGCCGATCACAGGCAACTGAAAAGGTTACCAATCCCTTTATATTGAATGTTAGCAGATGAAATATAATATTACACGAGAAACCTAGAAATATTTAAGCTTTTATAATCTTTCACTAAGTTCAAACTTAGTTATGATTTTTTTGTATAACGTGATCAAACACGTGATGGGTCAAGGGAAGGTAGGAGAGGAATCCCTTAAAATGTATGATTATCCATATGTTTATATGTTACCTATAGCCATAGATAAAGATAGATTTCGCATAAGACGACATTTTTCATCTTGAAAGATATAAATGTACAGAAATGTTTTAAAGATATTAAAAGACGATATCGAATTCGTCACTGAATTCCCATGTTTTTTGGGACACCCTGTATATGTAAAGAACAGTAAATGCAGTTGTATATGAAGTTTTATTCTTTGTGTTTAACCAATTACCAATAACTAGGGCTGGGCGCGTTTGAATTTTTTAATTGGTTCGTTAACGGTTGGAAAGTTAAGGAAAGGACAAAATAAATAGAAGGAACTGAAGTTTTAGGTTAGTTAGCGGTTTTCCCGTTCGTTAATAAAGTTGACGTTCGAAAGCAATCTCGAATTTTCAACAATATTAACTCGAGAGTTTTCTATGAAATCAATGGGTTTTGGTCTATTTTTTAGAAAATACAAAAGTCGACACTCGAAAGGTTCAAAAACCAGCTTACAAAAAATAATTTTGCATGCCTTTCAAGAAATTTTAATTAGCATCCGTTCGGTCTTCTTTATTCACCGTTCATGTTTTCACTGTCGGCTCAATGAACGTTGAAAAAACGGGGTTTCGTTAATTTTCCCAAACTTGTTTTTTTTTTAGCGGAACATGTATTTTGTATATTGTATATACTATTATTTGAATTTGATTAATAATTTCATTAAAATTAATGTTTGAATACTTTGAAATGCTTTTGTTATGTAAATACATGGTTTTTAGATAAGAAGATATAGGGTAAGTCATTCTTTAACAATGTCAAATAGTTTTAACTAAAATATTTACAATTTTTGCTTAGAAATTTTTACAGATATTTTATACATTACACGAGGGATAGGTTATTGTTAAAAAGTTTGAATTGAACTGTAGGATTAAAGGGAGTGTTCGCAAAAAAATGAAAGGGGGTATAGGCTTGCTGCGAAAATTAAGCCCTTTTGATTGCTACTAACATTAATTCTATCTATTGTTAAAAACGACTCATACCGAAGAACGTAGTGTCCATACAAATTCAGAAAGTTAAAAAATCGGACTCGCATCGTAAACAAATCAATTTAATTCCAAACGAATCATTCAGATAGTACAAACAATAGTCATCGATTATTTTTCGACGCATTCGTAAATAGTTCCCAGGACATGATCGGGCTGTTACGATCAAATCTCGGAATTTTTTCTATTGCGAAAGTTTGGTGTTGTCTAGGTTTATATTGATCTACCTTGGGTTGTAATCTGGCAGCACATTCATCCATCCACGCTTCATTCATACTGAGAAGAGGGTTGACAAGATTCCAGCTGCCTAAGATTCTTCTTAGGCCTGAGAATATAGAGTGCAGGAATCCTTCTACTGGAATGAGGCCCGGTTGCCATTCTCCCTAACATCTGTAAGCCTGGATTGGATACCCCCAGATACCTATCACTGGCAACCATAAGATAGAAGTAAGATTAGTAGCGATCAAAAGCGCTTATTTTTCTCCGTAAACCTATATCTCCTTTCATTTTTCGTGAACACTCCCTTTAAAGTTTTAAATTCCTTAATAAACATAGTCCAAAATTTGACACATTGCTTTATTTCCGAAAAGAGTGAGTAAAATAGCCCTCTCCCTTCTACCATTCATTGCTCTTCAATTCAATCCCCACCCCCTTCCCTTTCCCCTCTTCCATTTACCATCCCCCCTCCCCTTTCCCCTCTTTCAGTTACCATCCCCCTCCCCTTCCCATCTTCCATTTACCATCCCCTCCCCTCTCAGTCCTTTACTCTTTTCAATCCTTGAAATTGGTTAAGTTTGATTTCTCCTACAACCTACCACAATTTACACTCTTCCATCCTGCCTGCAGGCTGCCCCCCCCCCCAGCCTCCCCAGCCTCCTTCCTACACTTCCAGTCCCCAGGTCTCATGGTTCTAAGTCCTCGAGGTTTAGAGGCTCTGAAGGCCTCTCTAAAAACTCATGACTGGCAGGGATAACTTTTCACAATTATTTAAATTTTTTATTGTGATAGATCAAAACTTAAAAATGAAAATGAAAGTTTTGATTACACATTTTGTTGAGGATGAAGAACTTCGAGGTTGGTTTCCTCATGGCTCGTACCGGTCTCAGGGTCAGTAAAGGGCCTCAGGATGTCTGGAACAGGTTACCCCAACCCTCCTCCTCTTCCTCCTACCCCCCTCCCCCCATATATGGCATCCTCTCCCCTCCGATCTCCTCGTGATTCTCCCAGGAGTTCTCCTAGAACCCCTAGAACAAACAGAGCTGCTGAAGTCAGAATACAGAGGTAATTTATACAGGAATACAGGGATACAGGAATACAGGGGATACAGAGGATAAGTGGAACAGACTACATAGACGCAGGGATACAGGGATGCAGAGGTAAAATAGATACAGTTATACAGAGGTAAAATAGATACAGGGATAAAGGGATGCAAGGATACAGGGATACAAGGATACAGAGATATAAGAATACAGGTATACAGGGAAACAAGGATACAGGAATACAGGGATACAAGTATACAATGATACATGGATACAAGGATACTTCAGAATACAGGATACAAGGATACAGGGATACAGGGATACAGGGATACAGGGGTACAAGGATACAGGGATATAAGGATATAAGGATACAATTATACAAGGATACAATGATACATGGATACAAGGATAAAAGGATACATGGATGCAGGGATACAAGGTTACAGGGATACAATGATACTGGGATACAAGGATACCGGAATACAAGGATACAGGGATACAAGGATACTCGGATGCAAGGATACAGGGATACTCTGTATATTTTCTATATTCTATACATTCGAAATTAAATATATTTACAGTAAACAAAGGAGCCTCTCAATGACCGAGGTTACAAAATCTCCGTCCAGATCCAAGGTTGACCTCACGAGGTCACCCTCAAGGTCGAAACAAGACCTTCAGAGGTCAAGTCCGAAGAGGAGTTTGAAATCACAACCTAAGAAAGATGAAGACATAGGTAGGGTTTAATAAAATCTGGAAATAATAAAAATATTTAGAGTTTTTATTTTTATTTGATAATTACCACAAAAACGAATAAAATATTCCATTTTTTCAGGGTTTTAAAGTAAATAATGATGAAACATTAATCATCAATTCCAAGTTTACTATTTTATCAGAATCCATTAAAAACTAGTGAGTAAATTCTAGTAATTAAAGAATAATTCTAAATTACTTGATTTTAAGTACGTTAATTTTTTACACTATTATGCACCTTAAAATGTCTTGAATTTTAAGAAATAATAATTTAAAGGATTTCTGCAACTTATTTTTAAAGTTATTCTAATGCATAGGGTAGGGTGCAGGACGGCCTAAAGGTCGGTTGATGTTAATTTTTCTAAATACTTACTTTTTTGTCATTCAAGCTTCAGATTTAAAACAAACATTTTTGAAAAGGCCATGAAAATTGAAATATATTATGATTTGTCAAACTAAAAACTAAATATTTTATATTTATTCGACCTTTTTTTGCCTAATTTTAAAACCTTTACCTACATTGTTTGGTTTTGTTTAATTAGCTGGCCTTGAATAACTGGGCTAAAACCATAGTATCGGAATCTAAAACTTTTTTAGACCCCCCCCCCCCCCCCGCTTTTATAGGATTAAAATTGATATTTTCAGTGGTTATATAGGGTTTTAAAAGAAATATGTAAATATTGTATTTGTGAAAGTTGCGCAAGCAAATATATTTCTATTTTGTTAGGAAACCCTTTTCAATGTATTGTTTTCACAAAATATAGAATTAAAACTATAAATTCCCGAAAACATTTTCCGTCCTTTCATTAGAAGATTCCAAAACTAAACCTCAGGTTGGAGCGCGAAGCTCTGTGAATTTATGTAACATTTTTCTTTTCTAGGTCCCCAGGTGTATGTTGATTTACCCAAGCTGCCCCTACCTCCACTTAAACAGACCATGGACCAATATTTGGATAACCTCAAGTAAGTCAATTGGTCAATTTGGTCACTCAGTCTTTTTGTCAATTAAGCCAGTCGTTGGGCTATTATGGCATTTTTTGAGTTATTAGGTTAGTCGTATGGCAGCCATTTGGTCATTAGGTTAGTCGTTTTAGTCGTTCGGTTATTAGGTTAGTGGCTGGTTTTTCAGGACATTAAGTCAGTCATTGGCTGGCTAGTTGTTGTTTGATTCAGTCATGAGGTCAGTTAAGGTCTTCAGTTAGCCAATGACAAAGCTCAGTCTGCGGTTTGTTGTTCGCTAATTTCATGAGGTCTGTTGAAGTATTTCGTTAGTCAATAATAATGCTAAGGGAGTTAATAGTGGTAATTTGGTTCAGTCGCTAATACTAAAGTTAGTTAAGGTCAATAGTTAGTCAATGATAAAGCTCTATCAATAGTTTATTGTGGGGTGATTCAGCTTCAAATCAGGAGGTTATATAAGGTCATTTAGTCAGTCAGTGACCGGGTTCCGTCAGTTTCTAGGTGATTTATATGTAATGCATAAGAACGACGATATCTCCCACATTATAGATCAGATAAAGTGTGTAAAGGGTACCGTGGCTTTTTAAAGGACAGTCTTGTTAACTGAATGTTAAGACCAATCTTGAATGTTATATTTAGACCAATCTTGAATGAGGCGGATCTCGAAAAAGTTAAAGCAGAAGTTGAGGAATGGATGAAGGAGGGAGGGGTGGGGGAGAAGGTACACGCCCACCTACACCAGAAGAGAGAGGAGCTGGATAACTGGGCGTATCAATATTGGCTTCGGGTCAGAATACTATAATGATAATAATAATAACAATAATAATAAAAAATGATAATAATAATATATTAATGATGATAATAATAATAATAATAATAAAAATATTAATAATGATAACTAGCTGAACAACCCGGCGTTGTCCGTGGATTTTTTTTTTAATTTTGAAAAAAAAATATTTGGAATTTTTATGACCTATAACACTCCCCGGCCACCCCTGAGTGTCCACAAATATTTCAGCCCAATCGGTCGAGCCGTAAGTCCGGCTATAGGCATCATATATATGTATACGAATATCTTGTTTTATTATATAGATAGAAGACAGATAATAAAAACAATAATAATGATACAGGATATGTATATGGATATAAGAATTCCTATACCCGTCAATGTGAACCCTGGAATGGTTTTCCCAAGACTAGATTTCAGGTAAAAAGAAATCAATAATATCAAGTTAATTGATTTTGTACATTCCAGGAATTCAATATTAAAATAAATTTAGAAATTCTTTGAAAATTGCTTAGCAAAGTCTGTACAGTACGTTTATGTCTCTGTACAGTACGTTTATGTCTCTGTACTTTAAATATATCTATTCCAAACCTAGAATTATTCTGAAACATATTGTTGACACAGAAGAAATTTAACTCTTAATTATTTAACCTTTTTACTTAAATTTATTTTAGCATTAATGAAACTAAAGGAATCGAGTCTTTGCCACAAACTCTGAATTTATAATCTTTATATGATTGAAACCCAATGTCGTAAATCTTTGATATTTAAAACTTACATTATTTGATCTAACAGAATTCATAGTTTGAAATATCTAAGGTCTACGACATTGGAATCCAAAGATATAGGGTTTAGAAAAGCAGAGTTTGTGGCAAAGACTCAATATCTTTGTAATTAGAAAGATAGTTTAAATAAAAACAAATACCGTTAGAGCCAGATATTTGTAAACCAAAACATTAGTATCTGCAAAATTGTCTAAACCCAGGATCCAATACTTAGTTTCATGATGATATACCCAGTAATAAATTTCGGGCTCAACAACACAAAGAATTATTTCAGAGGTGTACGCATCTTTTGTTCTGCAGTGTACTGTTTCTGGGCGGTAAAGTAAACACAAGACGGATGGCCCAGCCTGACATGGGATCCATTTTCACTTAAAAAATGAATGAAATATTTTGGTCATAGGAAACTTTTATGTGAATTATTAAAATTATCAAAATTAAATGATTTTACCCTCCTAGGATAATAGAAGAACACTGATACATCTATTCTTGTTTACAAACAGCGCCAAGAGAGAACTGGTTTCAATATGTACGCAGAGAATACGCAACAGCAATTAACTTTCCTTGCCTTATTACCTTGCAACAATATATGTGTCATGTGTATGTATGTGTATTGCAGGAGTACCGATGAAACTCTATCCTGGACGAGCAGGATGGTTCGAACATCTGATACCCCAGGTATTTTACTCTTTTTGTTTTATGAAATAATAAACTTTTCTTTAAATACTTTAAATAAAACTTCCAAAATGTCAAATCAATCACGTTTGTTTTTAGTTTGCATATATTTTCTGTCACTCATGGTCAAAGTTTAGTATAGTGTTAGGAAGGTAAATAATTAGAATAAACCTTTTTTAAAAACATTTCTTCTTCTTCCGCTTTGCAAAATTTTGCGCATAAAAGAAAACACCCGAGACGTAGTTGAACCACTTCTCTTATGTGCCGGTTTAACGGGACTGTAAAGGAAAAATGAAAGGGGGTAAAGGCTGAAAGCTAATCACTTTAGCTCATGATCGCGACCCATGAAAGTTTTATCTGATGTTCCTGTCTCTAGAAATTGATATAAAACTGTGTTAAAATTATACGAAAGTTCATATATGTAAAATTTAGAAAATCTTAAACTTAAATCACGTGACCAGAACTATCACCAATGGCAGAGCAGTATACTGGTCACGTGTCTCCGCCTGTATCACGTGACCACTTTACTGCACTGCCATTGGTGGAATTTCTGGTTAAGCAATACGGACGTATAAATAATATTATGAATTAAATCTATAAAAAATAGAAATGACAAATATAAAATTAGAATTGGAGTAAACCTAAGTTACAATTAGCTTTCTCTGTGATATCATCGTTTTCAGATTGGTTGCATATTTGCTGAATTTGATCTTTTTAAACCCACTACTTTAATACAAAATTGTATATATATTAATTTTCGTATAAATTTGACAAAGTTGTAAATCAATTTCTCAAGATAAGAACATCAGATATAACTTTCATTGGTCGCGATCGAGAGCTAAAGTGATTAGCTTTCAACCTGTACCCCCTTTCACTTTTCCTTTACAGTCCCTTTAAGCTGAAGAGAAAAGTGGTTCAACAACCTCTACGCGGTTCAACTACACTAAATAAGGTCCCAGTTGTACAGAATGTTAAAAATATTTAATGATATGTAAAAATATCAGGATAAAGCAGCTACAAGAGAGAAGGGTCAACCTCTGTGCATGGCTCAATATTTCAGGTAAAATTGTTGAATCATTATAGTTAAAGGGGCTGCCGGCGAGATTTCACGTGAACCTCAATTACATGCTCAGTATACAACGATAGCCATCAAACCTTTATCTGAGTTATCACCATCACTTAAAAGACTTTTATTTTATTAAATCAAAGAACGTCGACAGCCCTTGAATAGAAATAAAAAACGCTACAAATTGTTTTAGTATAAATTTTGAAATATTATTTTGAAAATGAGTGCAAGAAATCAATCAATTAGTCTACTGTTTTTAGAAAAAAATTCACAAAAACAAGATCGTTCTTTTTGCAAATTTTTTTACAACATTTCGAATATTACTCAAAAATATTTCTAAATTAAACAATGATTTAAACGCTTATAAAATGTTAGATTGATGACAACGTATCGTCGGCCAGGGTTAAGCCAGGACTCTCAGATCTCTAGTGGGGTAGAGGAGAAGGAAGAAGAGCATATTCTAGTCGGGAGAAGAGGAACTTGGTATCATATTCCAGTCAAACACAATGGTTAGTTCAACACTCGATTAAAGGGATGGTTCTTGGTTTTTACAAGAAACAACTCTCAGAGATTTTGGTGTTAAAAGTTGGAAATGTAAGAATGCGGTTCAATTATATCTGGTTCAATTATATCTGGTTTCAACTTCTGGATATTTTGATCTGGGTAAAACTTCTGATTTTTAACTGGTTTTATAACTTGTGGTTCAATTCTAACTGGTTTTAACTTCTGATTGAATTTAACTGGTTTTAACTTCTGGTTCAATTTAAACTGATTTTAGCTTCCGGTTCAATCTGAGCTGGTTTTAGCTTCTGGTTTAATTTGAACTGGTTTTAGATTCTGGTTCAATTTGAACTGGTTTTAACTTCTGGCTCAATTCTAAATGGTCTAAGCTTCTGGTTCAATTCTAACTAGTTTTAACTTCTGGTTCAATTCTAATTGGTTTTAGCTTAACTGGTTCGATTTGAACTGGTTTTAACTTCTGGTTCAATTTGAACTGGTCTAAGCTTCTGGTTCAATTTGAACTAGTTTTAGCTTCCAGTTCAATTCTAACTGGTTTTAGCTTCTGGTTCAATTTGCACGGATTTAAACTTCTGGTTTAATTCTAATTGGTTTTAACTTCAATTTCATGTCTAATTTGTTTTAGCTTTTGGTTCAATTTTAACTGGTTTTAGCATCCAGATCAATTCTAACTGGATTTTGGTTTCTGGTTCAATTTGTACTGATTCTAACTTCTGGTTCAATTCTTACTGATTTTAACTTCGGGTTCAATTTTAATTGGTTTTACCTTCAATTTCATGTCTAACTGGGTTTAGCTTCCAGTTCAATTGGAATTGGATACTTGAATTTTAAAAAACTAGAATTTCTAGTAAAGTTATAGGAAGACACGAAATTGATTGAATTAGATAACATCATTGAGATTTTGAACTAGAAGAAGCAGTTGATCCAGCCAAATCCGGTTCAACAACTTCTCACTCATTCATAAATTTTCATTTAGAATTCTATTTCACTATTTATTCTATTTTCACCACTGGTACGCACTTTGTACTGTGTATATAAACATTTATATATAAACATGTATGTGCTGCACTGATTAAAGATTACTACCAACGTTCCCTAATCCAATTAGTTTTTAATTGGCATTCGCATCTCCTTGGGTTGTCACTACGGGTTCTAATCAATAATATCTCATATATTTGCAATGATGTAAAATGATAAATTTTCGAATTGAAAAGTAGTCGATTGTCATGATTTTGTTCCTGTTAAATGGTGATGAATATCTGTGTATAAAATTTACTTTTGCAAAGATTTGAACATTTTGACCTTAAGCAGCGTTTAAATGTTTATAATTCTTTAATATTTCTTTGATTAGTTTTCGAGGTTTTGCAATTTCTACGGAACATTATACATTATAAAATATTCAACTTTAAACACTATAGTTAATTTGCAGTACAGGACTGCCCTCTAGTCAGGTAGAGGATTTAAACAGTATATACTTCATAATTAATTAACGAGGACAGTACACAAAATTGATTATCTCCTTCGATAGTCCGACGAGTCCGACTAGTGTGAAATATCATACACAATTAAAAGATATATTTCTAAGAATTCTTACAACAATTCTGTAACAAACAAATTCGTGAATCGTGATAACGTAACCCATCCCATGAATCCATCTTAGATGGTAAAATGATCTTTCATTAATGATGATGTAGGAGTCAAATCTCTGAATGTTTTTCTGAATAAAATGTTTCCAGGAAAGTGGAAAAGCTTGGAGGACATCTACTCCAGTCTAATGGACGTTTGGGAGAACTCTGAGAACTCTGCTGTACTTGCTCTAGAGGATAGAGTCGGAGTCATGAGCGCAGGAGACAGGTAGAGATTCAAGAACAGGTTTTTGTAAGCAGGTAGAGATTCAAGAACAGGCTTCTGTAGGTAGGTAGAGATTCAAGAACAGATTTTTTTAGGCATGTAGAGATTTAAGAACCGGAACATGTCCTAAGAGACAATTAGAGATTTGAGAACAAGTTTCCAGAGATAGATAGATATTTTAGAACTGGTATAATCTTATAAAGAGATTTGAGATTTGATAATAGGTTCTTAAAAACAATGAGAGATTTTAGAAAAGAGTTTTATGGAAACAGATAAAGATTCGAGAACAGTTTTACATATACATTATACATGCAGGGATTTGAGAACTTTTTTAAAGATACAAGTAGAGATTTGAGAACTGGTTTCTAGATACAGGTAGAGATTTAAGAACAGTTTCATAGATACAGGTAGAGATTTGTGAACTGGATTCTAGATACAGATAGATATTACACAACAGTTTAATAGATACAAGTAGAGGTTTGAGAACAGTTTTGAAGATACAGGTAGAGATTTGAGAACTAGTTTCTAGATACAAGAAGAGATTTGAGAACAGTTTTATAGAGACAGGTAGAAATTTGAGAACTGGTTTATAGATACAGGCAGAGATTGGAGAACTGGTTTATAGCGACAAGTAGAGATTTGAGAAAAGTTTTACAGAAACAGGTAGAGATTTGAGAACTGGTTTTAAGAGACAGGCAGAGATTTGATCAGTTTTGATAGATATAGATAGAGATTCGAGAACTGGTTTATAGAGACAGGAAGAGATTCAAGAACATTTTTAAAATCTTTTATTAATTTAAAAAACCCTGTTTACACTCAGGGATAGCTGGGGAGCAAGCTACGCAGTGCTAGAAGAGGACCCTGAGAATAAGAAGAACTTGGAGCTGGTTGCTAACAGTCTCTTCTTGGTCTGTTTAGACGAGGAAACTCAGAATAAAAGTGACGCACACAGGAGTATGAAGGATATGTTTAGGTATATACATAAACTCATACAGAATTATTAGGAAAATCATAAATTTTGAAACAGAAACCTAAACATTTTTTAAAAAAATTTTAATTTTTGAGATTGTTTGTTAAAAGCACAGAATTTAGACTTGTTGAAAAGAAAATGTTTTTGGTTTTCAATTTTATTTTTTATATTTGTCCAGGCAGATGTTGACTGGGGCAGGTTCAAGGTATAATGCAACAAACAGATGGTTCGATAAAACTCTTCAACTCGGTGAGTATCTTAATCCTGATCCTCATCCTAATTCTAATCCTGATCCTGATCCTGATCCTGATCCTGATCCTGATCCTGATCCTGATCCTGATCCTGATCCTGATCCTGATCCTGATCCTGATCCTGATCCTGATCCTGATCCTGATCCTGATCCTGATCCTGATCCTGATCCTGATCCTGATCCTGATCCTAATCTTGATCCTGATCCTGATCCTGATCCTGATCCTGATCCTGATCTTGATCCCGATCCTAATATTGATCCTGATCTTGATCCTAATATTGATCCTGATTTTGATCCTGATCCTAATACTAATCCTGATCCTAATCATGATCCTGATCCTAATATTGATCCTAATCCTGATCCAAATCATGATCCTGATCCTGATCCTGATCCTAATATTAATCCTGATCCTGATCCTAATCATGATCCTGATCCTAATCATGATCCTGATCCTAATCATGATCCTGATAAAGATCCTGATCCTGATCCAGATCCTTATCCAGATCCTGATCCAAATATTTATTTTGATCATGATCCTGTTCCTCTTTTCCTCATTCTTTTTTGATATAATAATCTTTTAATTATTGTTTGTTAGTTGTGACCGGAGACGGTGTATGTGGTGTATGTTATGAACACTCAGCATCAGAAGGAATAGTTCCAGTTGTTATACTTGAAGATATTATTAAGGTTGGTTTAAAGGGAGAGACCAACTAGACATGGTAGTTGAGCTGAGAGTGCAGTATTGTAGAGAATTTTTTTTTGTTTTAGGATTTTTATTCCTAGGTCTCAAAGAAATCCTGAAAATATCTCTCCAATACTTCAGACTCCGCTCAACTACCAAGGCTATCCAGTCTGTCCCTTTAATTGCTGGAGATGGGGATCCAAAAATATCTAGAAATTAATATAACCTTTGTATCAAATTAATAAAGTTTTGCTCTGACATTGAGAAGCTGTCACAAAAGGGAATTTTACTGTAAGCTGTTTCCTACTAGTTATACTGTATTCTACTTGTTATACTGTATCCTACTAGTTATACTGTTTCCTACTTGTTATACTGTATCCTACTAGTTATACTGTGTATCCTACTAGTTATAGTTATACTGTATCCTACTAGTTATACTGTATCCTACTAGTTATGCTGCATCCTACTAGTTATACTGTATCCTACTAGTTAGTAGTTATATTGTATCCTACTAGCTATACTTTATCCTAGTTTATTATTATAGAGGGTAGGAACTAGCTGGAAGTCTAGTATAGCCTACCATCCCTCCAGTTCAAATTTTACTAAACTTTCTTGGAATCTAACTCCTCAACTTAAACTAGATATCAACAAAGCAATACAGGTAACGCATTTGAGAAAGAAATTGAAATGGAGGAAGGTTTTATTTATATTTTTTTTTAATTTAGATTGAATTCCTTTTTACAAAAACGTAAATATTTTTTGGTCGTAATTTACGCAATTAATCAACTAGTGGCATAGACTTTTTGGTATTTATGAATTCTTAGTAATATGAATTTAGTTGTTAGAGATTTTTTTATACTAAGTATTGTCAATGTTGGCTCAAAATAGCAAAACAAACTTTACATAAATGCTTGTTTCAACTTTCATCTACAAATCATGTGATGTGGATAAGTTTTCAACACTAAAGCTGTGACAAAATAAGACCGAATCATGTGATATAGATGAGTTTTCAATTCTAAAACATTGACAAAATGAGAACGAATCATGATTTATTGATGAGTTTTTAATATTTATATAAATGGGTACAAATCATGTCATGGATAAGTTTTTAATTCTAAAACTGTAATAAATAAGTTCATATTCAGGTTATAGATTCTCTGAATGATGAAAATGACCTAGAGGTTTTTAGGTTTCAAGAGTACGGAAAAGATTTTATAAAAAGCTCCAGGTAAAATAAAAAAATAAGTTTTATAAGACCTCTGTATGTTTATTTTAATTTATTTCTTATATAGATGTAGTCCGGATGCCTGGCTTCAACTTTCCCTGCAGGTTTTTTGGATTTTAGATTTTTTGATTAAATTAACATTTTTAAATACATACATGCACATTGCGCACTGACTATACGTTTGTACGGATATTTGGTCAACTATATATCGCCAGTATGGATATTTTATACAGTGACACCCTTAACAACGATTACATCGGAAGAATTTATCAAATGTCGTCTTGACAATTTTTCAATGAGTTTTATACTATATTACGTAAATTTCAGTATTTGCGAAAATAAATAAATAGCTATGAATATAAGGGAACAGTTTTAAAGAGTTCCATATAATCATTTAATTAAAAAATTAAACATCTGCAACATTCCATTATCAGGAAGTGAAGAATACGACATTTGATTAAATCTTTCGATGTATTCGTTATTTAGGGTTTCACTGTAGTTAATTATAATTTGTGTGTACGGATATTTAGTTAACTTTATATCGCTAGTATGGATATATGTTATATAACTATAAATTGTGAGTACGGATATTTAGTTAAATATGTATCATCTGTGCGGATATTTAGTTAACTATATATCGCTAGTATGGATATATATTAGTTAATTACAAATTGTGTGTACGGATATTTAGTTAACTTTATATCGATATTATGGATATATGTTATATAACTATAAATTGTGTGTACGGATATTTAGTTAACTATGTATCATCTGTGCGGATATTTAGTTAACTTTATATCGCCAGTATAGATATATATTAGTTAATTATAAATTGTGTGTACGGATATTTAGTTAACTATGTATCATCTGTGCGGATATTTAGTTAACTTTATATCGCCAGTATAGATATTTCTTAGTAAACCATAAATTGTGTGTACGGATATTTAGTTAACTACATATCATCTGTACAGATATATTTTAGTTAACTATGTATCATATGTACGGATATGTTTAAGTTAACTATACATCGACTGAACAGATATAATTGAGTTAACTATATATCGTCTGTACGGATATATTTCAGTTAACTATATATCATCTGTACAGATATATTTTATTAACTATATATCATCTTTACAGATATATTTTAGTTAACTATATATCATCTAAACAGATATATTTTAGTTAACTATATATCGTCTGTATGGATATATTTTAGTTAACTATATATCGTCTGTAAAGATATATATTAGTTAACTATATATCGTCTGTATGGATTTATTTTAGTGAACTATATATCGTCTGTACGGATATATTTTAGTTAACTATATATCGTCTGTATGGATATATTTTAGTTAACTATATATAGCCAGTATGGATATATATTAGTTAACTATAAATTGTGTGTATGGATATCTTTTAGTTAACTATATACCGTCTGTAAAGATATATTTTAGTTAACTATATATCGTCTGTATGGATATATTTTAGTTAACTATATATCGTCTGTAAAGATATATTTTAGTTAACTTTATATCGTCTGTATGGATATATTTTAGTTAACTATATATCGTATGTAAAGATATATTTTAGTTAACTATATATAGCTAGTATGGATATATATTAGTTAACTATATATAGCTAGTATGAATATATATTAGTAAACTATATATCGTCTGTATGGATATATTTTAGTTAACTATATATCGTCTGTACGGATATATTTTAGTTAACTATATATCGTCTGTACGGATATATAGTTCCAACATATGAAAGTGCTTCCACAAGAAGATTTCAACTGGGAAGAGTGGATTGTATCAGGTTAGAATTAAATGCATTTAATTATAAACAAAATATGTTTTATCATTAAAAAGCAAAAGGTTGATTTTAAAACCTTAGGAACGACGCTACATCATATTTTTTGTAGTTAATTGTTTATTCTTTTGCAGATCTTAGTTTTTGTAAAAACAACTTAGTTTTTAAAAATAATTTTGTCTTTGTGCTTTTCTTGCACATTGCTAAACCAGGCCAAAAGTTTAAATTGCACATCTTTATAAATTTGGTTTGTTTGTCTTTTTGTTTATGACTGGTTAAAGTTGAAAATGTTGCCCTGCAAAAATGTTGAAATTCATTATTTTTGCAAAGGAACCACTTTCAGAACAGCAGAAGCTAAATTTGGTAAAAGAAACGAGGGCGCTTCGTCTAGCATCATATAGACTTTATAGTTATGGTTCCAAGTTTTATTTCTTTTATTTGTAAAAACTCCTTTTATACAGCTGAGATAAATGAGAAACCTAAATATTTTTAAACAGCGCTAATACCATGTTTAAAAAAAAATCGACTGAAAATGCATATTGCATATATTATGTCGCGCTTGTTTCCCGGAAATTAATTATTTCAAAAATATTGCATTTATGAAACGTCAGAGCAGTTGAAATTGAGAATGTTTTCAAAAATTATAAAAATTTGTCCCATCTTAATATTCTGCAGTCTGAACTAACTAATATACTGTACAGGGCCTCCCATCCTGAAGGACTATCCTGGTGTCAGGATATGATGATGGAAACTAAAACAAAAGAAGAAAAAAGAAAAAGTTTTGAAACTGCCATTAAAAAACAAACAAAAGTACGAGACCTATTAAAATTAATCATAAAATAGTAAAAAAGATATTTTTTATTGCTTTTTTTCAGGTAATGATAGAAAATATCCTTGGTTATGGAATGGATATCCCTTTATTAGGTAAAGTTAATGAATTTATAACAAATATCACACAAAAAAAAGTTGTGCTTATCATAGTTCTAATTAAGTGATTATTGAAAATAAATTAAATCATTGTTTTTTTTCGTGAAAAGTTTGTTTTGTGTAGAGTCTTCAGTCTTCAAAATATAATTTTCTGTTTGTTAAATAGGTCTTCGGGAAGGCACAAAAGAATTGGGATTGTGGGATAAACAAGGATTATTTAAAGATCCAGCTTTTGATAAACTTAATCAATTCCTTCTCTCAACAAGTCAGGTAGCTTCTAAATTTTCACAAATTTCTCCTATTTTCTCATTTTTCTTCTTATTTTTCTTCTTGTTTTCTCAATCCTGTATTTATTTTTCTCATTTCTTTTCTTATTTTTCTCAATCTTCTTCTTATTTTTCTCATTTTTCTTCTTATTTTTCTTATTCTTCTTCTTATTTTTCTCCTTTCTCTTCTTATTTTTCTCATTCTTCTTCTTATTTTTCTCATTTCTCTTCTCATTTTTCTTATTCTTCTTCTTATTTTTCTCATTTTTCTTCTTATTTTTCTTCTTATTATTTTTCTCATTTCTCTTCTTTTTTTTCTTATTCTTCTTCTTATTTTTCTCATTTCTTTTCTTATTTTCCTCATTCTTCTTCTTTTTTCTCATTTTTCTTTTTATTTTTATCATTTCTCTTCTTACTTTTCTCAATTTTCTTCTTATTTTTCTTATTCTTCTTCTTATTTTTCTCAATTTTCCTTTATTTTTCTTCTTATTTTTCTTCTTATTTTCTCAATTTTCTTTTTATTTTCTCATTTTTTTTCTTATTTCCCTCATTCTTTTACTTATTTTTTCAATTTTCTTCTCATTTTTCTTCTTCTTCTTCTTATTTTTCTCATTTTTCTTCTTATTTTTACTCTTCTTCTTCTTATTTTTCTCATTTCTTTTCTTTTTTTCTTCTTCTTCTTCTTATTTTTTCATTTCTCTTCTTATTTTCCTTATTCTTTTTTTTTTTCATTTTTCTTCTTATTTTTCTTATTCTTCTTCTTTTTTTTCTTCTCAATTTTCCTTTATTTTTCTTCTTATTTTTCTCAATTTTCTTTTTATTTTCTTATTTTTCTTCTTATTCCCCTCATACTTTTACTTATTTTTTCAATTTTCCGACTTATTTTTCTAATCCATTCATTCTGTCCAGTTGGTTGGATTTTTCCAACTTTGAATTCATTTTAATCAAATATAGTTTAATTTGGAAATATCAAATATTTACACCATTAGGATGCAAAGATACACGGATTAAAATTAAAAGTTTGCTGTCAGTATTTTAAATATAATAATTTGCTGCCTAGGTTCCAATCAGCCTGGATCCTGCATTTATGGGATATGGAGCTGTAGTTCCTGATGGATATGGAGTCTCATACAATCCTTACTCGTCCAGGTAGATTATAGATCATTCATCTAGGTAGATTCTATCATAGGGGTCATCTAATCATTATTTATGTTGATGGTTGATAACACATATACAGTGATAACCATAAAACAATGGAATAAGAAGACGACTTTTTATCAATGCCTAAGTGTATTTGATGTTGTTACAAAACAAATAGTTTTACTGGACACTTATCAAATCACTTACAAAAAGTGAAATGGGTCTTTTGACACTGCTCATTTGCTGTGTCTAATGTTCATGGGCTAGTATGAAAGTCGTCTTTCTATTAAAAGTTTTCTAGTGATCCACTTATATTCTTTTAAATTATTCTCCCATTCAGAAATTATCCCCCTCCCGTGATGTATAAGGGATCTTTTTTTGTGTGTTTTTTTTCCGCTGGAATGTATTATATTGTTTTCAGCATAATCTTCTGTATCTGCAGTTTCTACAGCAGTCCACTCACAAACAGTCGTAACTTCGCAACTCAACTACAGAGGTCTCTGCTGGACATGAAACAGCTGTTCGTGAAAGGAGATGGAAGAAAATGAACGAAATGTGGCTCACACACACACAAAAAAATTATTTTAGCTCACACAAATTTAGTATTTATGACATTGTTAGACAATTTAGATTTCATATTATGGGTTAAAACAATTCCAGATTAGTCAGTTGCAAAATACATGTTTTGACTCTAAATACTCGCGGGTATAATTTATAATTACAAAAACTTATTATTAAAATGAGACGATCGTTTTGAAATTTGGTGTTGATGTTGGTCCAAACGATAAAAAAGTAAAATAAAACAGGTTCTACAGTTTATACTTATTTCCTTATTTTTTGAAAAGGCTATTTCTACTTTGAAATTAGAAACCATAGCTCAGTCATATATCAAACTATTGCTAACGTTTCGTTAAAAGAAATAAAATAACCGAGGGGGGCTTTTTCCTTCTTTTTATGAGCTTTTTTCTTTTAAAATATCACTAGATGAATAACCTATAGCTTAATGAAAACTCAATTCCGGAATTTGTACATTCACGTTTCCTCTAATTCTCTCTTCTGCTCTGAATTTAATTACAACTTCATTTAAACTGTCATTTTCCTGTTCTTCCGAGATCTCAATTAATCATTACTTTTTAAATGTCAATGATTCTGAGTTCTGACTTAATTAGTAGATTTCAGCCTTTAATTGTTATCTTTATCCAGGGGGGGGGGAAGGGGGGGGGGTTACACCATTCCCTCCCATTTCTTTTCCATAACCTTGAAAGAGCTTGCACTGGAGCAATCAAACTTCTTTAATTCTCCAAAACTTTTTCCCTATTTGAGCCACAGATCATAATATTTACATATGTTAAAGTCCTTAAATGCACACTGAATTGAAACATAGTGAAAATGTCACTAAACAGTGGATACTGGACACTAAACATTGTACACTGGACAATAAACAGTTGATACTGGACACTAAACTTTATCCACTGGACACTAAATAGTGGATACTGCAGACACTAAACAGTGGATACTGGACAATAAACAGTGGACACTGGAAAATAAACAGTGGATACTGGACAATAAACAGTGGATACTGAACACTAAACAGTGGATACTGGACACTAAACAGTGGACACTGGACACTAGACAGTGGATACTGGACACTAAACAGTGTACGCTGGACACTAAACAGTGGATACTGGACAATAAACAGTGGACACTGGACACTAAGCAGTGGATACTGGACACTAAACAGTGGATACTGGTCACTAAACAGTGGACACTGAACCCTAAACAGTGGATACTGGATAAAAAACAGTGGGCACTGGACAATAAACAGTTGATACTGGACACTAAACAGTGTACACTGGACACTAAACAGTGGATACTGGACACTAAACAGTTTACACTGGACAATAAACAGTGGATACTGGACAATAAAAAGTGGTCACTGGACACTAAACAGTGGATACTTGACACTAAACAGTGGATACTGGTCACTAAACAGTGGATAATGGACACTAAACAGTGGATACTGGACACTAAACAGTGTACACTGGACACTAAACAGTGGATACTGGACAATAAACAGTGGACACTGGACACTAAACAGTTGATACTGGACACTAAACAGTGGACACTGGACACTAAATAGTGGATACTGTAAACACTAAACAGTGGACAATGTACCGCTCAATTTTGCTTCAATTTAAAAAGATGAAATTAATTTGCTTCAATGTAAAAAAATTTAAATTAAAATCTAAAGTAGAAATGTTATTACTCAGTACAAATAAGCACCAATGGAAGAAACGAATTTCAAAAACACATATCATGCATAATCTCGGTGTTGCTTTTAATTATTAGCACATTTGTGATAGGTTGTGATCTAAATAATAGATATATATATATATAAATAGATATTTATGTTATGAATAGTTGTAAAGGCTATAAACTTTAAAAAATAAAAAAATTTTATTCTATGCCTCTTGAATTAAATTATGGGGGGTCTCTTATTTTTTCATTAGTTTAATTCTTTTTAAAAGAACCAGCTAAGCCGATCAGGCCCAAATTTTGATGGCCCTACCATGTTTCTGGCCGGTTCAAACATTTTTTTTATGTTTTAGTGTTTTAGTGATTTTGTTATTATATATTTTTGCAGTATGTTATATCCTGATAATTACCCTTTTCTGCATGGTTATACATTTACAGGGGCTGGATGAGCATTGACATCTAGGGTTTTCAGTGCAATTTTGCAACTTATTATTTATCATTCATCATGGTACACCATTCATACAAAATGTGTAGAAAGTACATAATTATGATATTAATAATTCTTTTATATTTTATAATATACTTTCTGCACATTTTTGCATGAATGGTGTCCCATAAGCTTTAAAATACATTTATATGCAAGTTTTTACATATCACGTATTCATCACTGTGATCATTGTTGAATCCAAGAAGACATAGTTTTACACTAAAAAAGAGTTTTAAGCATTTATTTTTATTTTTAAACTAAGATGAGTATGTAACATCAATTATCAAATTTTTGTTGAGCAGTCTTGCTGTGGTTCCGTGGGATTCGGGCAGGATTAAAACAGGATACTGCTAGGCAAACACAACATTTCTCGAAAAAAAAACAAAAATGCGAAAATTTTTCGAAAATTGTTTATTTAGGGAAATTTTGCATATTTTGTTTTATTTAAGGCGAAATTCCACATCGTTTTCGCTTCCTTTCGTTAAATTCTTTTTTACGAAAAAACACGAAATTACGAGAAATTTTTTTTGAATGTCGCATTTTTTGCGAAAGTTTTTGTTCGCTGGAATCTTTGCATGGAGAGGGAACTACTTGAAATTACGTTAACAGTTAACGTTGAATTAGGAAAAAAATAAATTATGAATATCTATTTATGAATTTAGCTTGTTTGGGTGTCTGTTTGTTTGTTTGTATCCAATAAACGCCAAATTTTGAAAATTTTGAAAATCAACGAAATATTTTGTTAAAATCCGCAAACTTTTTTTTGTTTTGTTTTACGATGTACACAAAGAGAACATTTTCACAATTAGCATAGAAGATGGGCGCGAAGTGCCCTAAAAGACTAGTTAGTATATTATTAAATTTGAATACAGGAAAAGGTGATTCCAAATATATGTATACAAAAATTAAAAAATGAACGGATAGAATAAACTGCAATAGTATATTCACAAATCATTTGGTTGAACATTTGTGAGGTTTAGAAGAAAATATTATTTCAGTCTTATATCTGATCACTTAGACTTTTGGATACAAATCCCTAGCAACCAGCAACGTCGCGCGACCAGTCCCATTAGGTCGCGGTAGGTGAGGGTTACGTCGGATTACCTAACTGGTCGGAACATGACCAGTCCTTTAGGTCGAGTTAGGTCATGTTTGGTCAGGTTAGGTCGGGGTACCTAGGGTACCTAACTGGTTAGTAGAACATGACTAGTACCCTTAGGTCGGGTTAGGTCAGGTTACACAACTGGTTTTATACTTGTCTTAACTTGACCAGTCCACTCAGGTCGGATTTTGTCGGGAATTGGTCAGGTTACGTCGTATTGCCTAACTGTTCAGTACATGACCAGTCCCCTTAGGTCGAGATAGGTCAGGTTAGGTCGGGTTATCTAATTGGTCTCATGCTGATCTTAACCTGACCAGTCCACTAAGGTTGGATTTGGTTATGATTCGTCTGGTTACATTGGATTACTTAACTGGTCAGAACATGATAAATCAGGTTATGTCAGGTTAAGGTTAGGTTTAGTCGAGTTTGGTCGGGTTACCTGGTCTTAACTTAACCAGTCCACTAAGTTTGGATTTGGTTAGGTTACGTCAGATTACCTAACTGGTCGAAACATTTCCAATCCCCTTACGTCGGGTTTGGTTGGACAGTTGGGTTACCTATCTGTTCTCATACTGGTCTTAACCTGACCAATCCACTTAGGTTGGATTTGGTCAGGATTGGTCAGGTTACGTCAGATCATCTAACTGGTCGAAACATGGCAAGTCCTTTAGGATAAGTCTCGGTCAGGTTAGGTCAGATAAGGTTGGCTTACCTAACTGATCATATACTGGTCTTAACCTGACCAATTCCCTTAGGTCAGATTAGGTCGGATTAGGCCAGAAAAGATTGTGTTACCTGACTGGTTCTAACTTTTCATAAATTGACCCTTAAGTCATATAAGGTCTTGCGTGGTTGGATTACCAAACTGGTCTTCACTGGTCACAACCTGACCAGTGCCCTTAAGTAAAATTTAGGTCGGATTAGGTCAGACTATGTCATTCCAGGTTTCGCCACTAGATGTCTCTAAGCCTGATATTAGATAAAAGCCCCTTTTTGGCCTTGAACGACTAGCAGTATCAAATATTTTATTTTTTTTTTCAACAGAATTGATATGTAAGAAATTGAAACTAAAAATTTAAAAAAATGAAATTTTTGAAAAATTTTATTTTTATAGAATTAATTGATGTTTTCTGAAATATCAATGTCAGTATAATTGTGAATTTTGTGATAAGTAGAAGTTCTTTTCTACAGCATCTGTTGCAGGTATAGTTAAGTGTGTAAGTATGAATTGATAAATAAATTGAATTTGGATGGTGATATATGAATGTATGATGTATATGAATGTATGATCCATATAAATCTATTTTTGATCCCAAATGGGATCGGGGTTGAAAGTACATTTGGTGGCATGAAAGTACACTTTATATGTCATTGTGAACTTTGACAAGTTTTTGTGTATGTGTACTACACTTCAGAAATGTGTACTGCAATTGGGGTGTTAAAAGATGTAAACATTAGTATTTAATATAAGAGATAAATTATGATATACAGAAAAATAAACACCCCCTTGCATTAAACATTCTGCAGTATGGAATTTGTTCTACAACTTGACATTATACTTCCAATTGTTTACAATAACAACATGGCTTATTTCAAGGTTGTAATGCAAGGAAAGTTAATTGCTGTCGCGTATATTCTGCGTACATATTGAAAACATTTCTCTCTGGGCGGAATTTGTAAACAAGAATAGATGCATCAGTGTTTGTTTAGTATCCAAGGAGGTTAAAAGCATTAAATTTTGATAATTTTGATAATTCACATAATAGTTACTAGAATATTTCATTGATTTTTTTATGTGAAATATGGATCCCATGTCAGGCTGCGACATCCGTCTTATGTTTACATTAGCGCCCAGAGACAGTACATTGCAGTACAAAAGATGTGTACACTTCTGAAATAACTTTCCTTGCAGTACATCCTTGGTTTATTTCTGCCCCTAATATCAATCAATCAACATTTGGGATTGATCAGATGGAATTATATGGACCCCTGGATGAATATAATGGTAATTTTGGCTGAATAGTGAATGGGTCCAATGTAGCAGTGTTAAGTACAAAGAGAATAGATTAATCTCTGTTCTGAGGTTAAGTATAAGATAGTGGGTATGAATAGTTTGGTCATATCGACGTCAAAAGTTTGGTCATTTCAACGTAAATTAGGTTTGGTCCAATGCAAGGGATGCAAGGAACCAAGGGTATAATGCAAGGAAAGTTAATTGCGGTTGTGTATACTTTGTGTACATATTGAAACCAGTTCTCTCTGGGCGGAATTTGTAAACAATAATAGATGCATCAGTGTTCGTTCAGTATTCAAGGAGGGGGGTTCAATGGAGAATTAACTTCTCCTTAGTACTGTCTGTGAAAACATTTATTTGGAGGGTATTTAAGTCTGATGGTTTATTTCTGTTCTTGAGATTAATGAGGCTTTTATTTTCAACAGAAAAGTCTTATGTGATCCAACTTGTATGTTTATTGGGTCTCATTGTTAAATAATTAAAAAATGCAGAAGTTTTTCCACAACCCTATGTAAAATATTACATTGATTTTTTATTTGAAATATGGATCCCATGTCAGGCTGTGACAACCCTATACTCTTGTGTTTACATTAGAGCCCAAAGACAGTACACTGCAGTAAAAAAAAATTCGTACACCACTGAAATAACTTTCCTTGTATTACACCCTTGCAAGGAAGTAAATACATAGGAACGCCGAAGTCAGATATACGCATATTGTGTACTGTACACTATGAGGATTAATGTAAACATTTCCCAGCAATGGCATAATTTGCCAAATAGTTCTGTATACGAATCGCACGGAAGTCGGAACCAAATAACTCAAAAGTGGAATATTCTCTAGAAAAGGATCGTGGTTCTAGTGGTTCCGCGAAATCGGTTCGCCCCCCCCCCCATAGTTGCGCCACTGAGTAAAAAAACGAAGGCTATAGGCTTGGAAACGGTGTTGCGTCGATTCGGAGACTGTAAAGCAAGCTTGGAGGTTATTTGATATCTTGCAGTTAATAAGGATCGAAAGTTATTTCACGGTGATATCATGGCAGCCCATGGAGCCCTGCACCCGGTCCTCGTGAGGTTCGGACGAAAATTTGTGGGGTGCTGTGTCCCTCCCTCGTCCAACGATTCCAACCCAATTATTCATTAACAGGTTTAGTCTCATCCCGGCGCAGTAGGACGGGTAGGACACGGCGAAGTATGCACAAGATGCTCCTGCGGAAAAGACCCGACACGCCTGAAATCCTGTTCTGCCCCAACTGCCGTGGGAAAAAGACGCGCCGGTACAATTATCAACACGCTACCTCAGGTGCAGGAGGTTCGGAAAGGCACGGCACAAGGGGCTCTACAATTGCATTGAGTGTCCCGGACCGGCTTTAGATCAGTAATAGGATGGTGTTCGCAGCGTAAACAGACACAGTTTCTGTTTTCAAACATCTGCAAAATACTTTTAATGTTATTCAGAGTTAGTTGAAAACTTCAGTTGAACAAGATAGATATTCTTGATGAAATAAGATTGTTTTGTGATTTCTAGTTCTATTGTGTGAAGTAGTGAGGAAGGTTCGAAAATAACTTGTTTTTGAAGATTTCGTTTATCTACCTGCCTATACATTGGCAGGGCTACTCTAACTCCAACATTGAATACACAGGTTAGTTCTATTTTTAAACTAATCCACTTCCCCTCATTATAAAATTGTATTTTTTTAACTATAATCTATTTAAAAAGTGCTCTACTCTTAAGAAATATTGCTAACTTGGTTATTATCAAGATATGTAGTTAAATATATGTAAAAACAAATAAATACATTATCTTGTTATAACAATTATATATTAAACTCATTTAATAATAAGTAATTTGTAAATTTCATCTTTTCCAGATGTTATTTACTTGCAATACTTAAATATTTACTGAGCGTGTGAGTTGTGTAATGTTACTTCTTAACAATAACATGCATCTTTCCTGACATACCTACTATCCTGACATACCTACTATCCTGACATACCTACTATCCTAACATACCTACTATCCTGACATACCTACTATCCTGACATACCTACTATCCTGACATACCTACTATGCTAACATACCTACTATCCTGACATACCTACTATCCTGACATACCTTATATCTTGACATACCTACTATCCTGATATACCTACTATCCTAACATACCTACTATCCTGACATACCGACTATCCTGGCATACCTTATATCTGGACATACCTACTATCCTGACATACCTATTATCATGGCATTCATACTAGATCCTTACATACCTACTATTCTGACATTTCTAATATCCTGACGTACCTACTATCCTGACATACCTACCCTGACAGAAACAATCTTAAGAACTGTCGAGGGTCAACCGAGACCGATATATATGTGGAACTAACATCTACTTTTTTTACTCTTCAGAGGTTTGGTCCATCACCATCACCGAATTTTAAATTATCCTGACATATCTACTATCCTGACATACCTTATATCCTTACATTTACCTACTATCCTGACATATAACTTTTATCCTGACATACCTACTATCCTGACATACCTAATATTCTGACATACCTACTATCCTGGCATACCTTCTATTCAAATATACCTAACTTGAATTCTAATTCATATATCATTCCTGTAATAAAACTAGCCCTCTCTCCGACTAATTTTGTGTACAAACAAACACGAGCAACTCTACCTGCTCAACCCGGTGTTACATACAAATACATACATACAAAGTTTTGCACATAATAACATTTATTGAGTCTAAAATATTATTATTGCTCTGACCGGTGTAGCGGTCAGCGCATTCAATCAAAATATATTTACAAGTTTAGGATACTTTTTGAGTGTTATTTATATTTATTACATACCAACCTGATTTCCTAGACCTTGAAAACTTTGAATGGTTAGATCAAAGAGTCTAAATTTTGAAATATTAATATACCATAAGGTTGCCAAAACTAAAAGATTAGAGTTTGTGTCGAATATTCAGTTCCTTTAACTTTTACTAAGTCTAAATGCCGAATCAGAATTTATTACATCTTCCGCTTTTCCGGCACACACTGTTCTAATCACAGCTTCTGGATTGGCATGGAGTAGGGTTTATCACCAGGTTAAAACCTGTAGCATTGAAATCATGGTTTCTTTCGCGTTATCATTTATAAAATCTTATCAAGGGCGGAATTCTTATTGTTAAAATATTTATATTTAAGAAAATGTTAATTATGTTTGAAAGAAATTAATGATGTATGTCTAGTTCAGGAATTTCATTAATTAGGAAAATAATGATTACTAAGAAAGTTTTAAGGTTTTCTAGTTATACATATTGTACATATTTTACATATTGTACATATTGTACATTTTGTACATATTGTGCATATTGTACATATTGTTATTGAGTATACTAGTAGAAGGTCTGTGCGTAAGGGATTATTAGTTGATAAGAAGGATGTACGTTGCACATTTTGTAAATATTAAAGATTATAGAAAGATGAAACTTAAGGGTTCCTGAAAAACGAGAGAAATTTGGAATAAGTAGATGAACTAAGTATGGCTAATAGAACTACTTTGTAGTGTTCTTATTAAAATAGGAAAGTTTTCTAAAAATTTTATAGTCGGAAAATCAAAAATGTTTTGAATTAAAATCACATAATGTTTATTATTTAAAAATCGATATATGTAAGAAAAGTAAAAATATAACTGTACAAAAATTGCTGATCTAAGGTCCCGCCAGCCCCCCCGTCCATCTTCAACAAAACATCCCGTAATAATGAAATTATTATACACCGTGTGAATTTTCTTCGTGATTAAACAAAGTTTTATTTCATTTTCTCCACGAAATGCACTGAGTGTGTTTGCGCGCTCTCCCTATAGTTATGTACGATTTTAGAGATTAAATTTTATTTCTCACTTTTATATGTTTAATGTTCACATTTATATTTTTTTCATTCATTGAGCGTGAACCTTGCAGAATTAACGGCAGAATTAACGTTTTCTTAAACCATGAATAGTGAAAATCTAAATTTTTACTATTTCTTTCTTTTGAAAGATACTTTTTTTTCCGGGGGAGGGGTTTTCAAATATTCTTTGCAAGAAATATTAATGAAAAAAAACATTTTAGTTTGGTCGAATGTTTTTTTTTCATGAATGGAAAAAATCACCACCAGTTTTTTTAATATGTTTTTCGGTTCAAATTTCTACTAAATCGTGTTTTTTTTATCTAGAGTAGTTTTAGTTTCTTTCTTTAATTTGTTCTTTGTAACACTGCATTGTGTTGAATTATAATTGTATACAGAGCGTAGTTGCGTAAGAACCAACCTTGATATACGCTATTGTAAGGAAGCAGTGAGAAGAAAGGATGTATCCCCCCCCCCTCCTTGAAAATGCCAACAAAATATGCAAACTTCCTTCCCAGAAGCTTGCAACGATTTACAAGATAGATATTGTGCATTACTGTGGTAACGTAAAGGCGTGTTCTCCAATCCTAGAAACACAGGTGTTTCCTTTTTATTTCGATTTTAATTGTTCAAAGAATCTACAAAAAAAATGAAAACAAATTTTTAAATTTCCAGACTAATCCTGTTTTTTTAGGTTTTACAAAATTCTTAAATTCATTCATCAACTTATTATTTTAATATATACTTTGCTTCTCTGTCTTGGTGTTTGTTTGTTATTTTGTGTGGGACCTCACATGACCCCAGAAAAGGTTTATGAATTATCAAAATTTTAAAAATTTGCCTCCAAAAAATGATTTTCATTAAATATATAAAATCCACGATTTTTTTAATGAATTCCGCGAACTTTTTTGTTTTTGTATTTAAAAAGAAAAGCGCCCTGAAAGCCTAGTATGTTTAATTCTAATCCAGCATCCAATGTCAAATGACTCATCCTGCAAATCTTAGCCACGTATTCGTCCACTGTAATTTCTTTTCTTTTCTCTTCCCCCCGTTTTCCTTCTCAACTGTTATCTTGATTTAAGAATGCAGTACACTGTATACTAAACACAATGCCTGGGAAATCCTTATCATTCGTGATCTTTCCGCCCTTAGTTTAACATCCTTAGTAAAGTACCCTTAGTTTATCATCCTTAGTAAACTACCCTAAGTTTATCATCCTTAGTAAACTACCCTTTGTTTATCATCCTTAGTAAACTACCTTTAGTTTATCATCCATAGGAAACTACCCTTAGTTTATCATCCTTAATAAATTACCCTTAGTTTATCATCCTTAGGAAACTACCCTTAGTTTAAGATCCTTAGTAAACTACCCTTAGTTTATCATCCTTAGTAAACTACCCTTAGTCTATCATTCTAAGAAAACTACCCTTAGTTTATCATCCTTAGGAAACTACCCTTAGTTTATTATCCTTAGTAAATTACCCTTAGTTTATCATCCTAAGTAAACTACCCTTAGTTATCATTCTTAGAAAACTATCCTTTGTTTATCATCCTTAGTAAACTACCCTTAGTTTATCATCCTTAGGAAACTACCCTTAGTTTATCATCCTTAGGAAACTATCATTTGTTTAGCATCCTTAGTAAACTATCCTTAGTTTATCATCCTTAGGAAACTACCCTTAGTTTAACATCCTTAGTAAACTACCCTTAGTTTAACATCCTTAGTAAACTACCCTTAGTTTATCATCCTTAGGAAACTACCCTTAGTTTATCATCCTTAGTAAATTACCCTTAGTTTATCATCCTTAGGAAACTGCCTTAGTTTATCATCCTTAGGAAACTACCCTTAGTTTATCATCCTTAGGAAACTACCCTTAGTTTATCATCCTTTGTAAATTACCCTTAGTTTATCATCCTTAGGAAACTACCCTTAGTTTAACATACTTAGTAAACTACCCTTAGTTTACATCCTAAGGAAACTATCCTTAGTTTACATCCTTAGGAAACTATCCACTACACTCTACAGTAACTATAAAGATGTGTTACCAAAGCTTATGTAAAATATGAATATAAATATTTGTTTATGTTTTATTATTTAATCTAGATTTGGTTTCATATTTCAAAGCAGATCAATAAATTAAAATGTTTCATTGAGTTGCATTATCCTTGTTTCTTTAAATAGCTTTATTTCTTGGCTCAAGAATAGACCTGTGCGTGGGTTGTTCTTATTTGTCAAAATTGTGTGATATCTTAGGAGAGGAGCTGCTAAAATATTAGAAGTTAAGGGAAATATGTCTATCCCAAACCCTTGAACTTGCTGGTCTCTTCCAACATATACCACTCTCTGCAAAAACCACGCTATGATGATATACCTACCTGTTTATATACGTCTTGTTTATATAGTGTTTGACTTCATTACTTTGTCAGTGTACTGTATTAAGGTGATAAATAGGCAAATAAAGTATAATGACATCTATCTATCCAATAGTCTATTTTTTCATTCAAAATTTAATCTATTCAACCATAAATCCAACCATCTATCTATCCATCTATGTAATTCTATCTGATTTTCTATCTATCTAGTAATCTATCTACCATTCATCTATCTATCCAAAAGTCTATCTATGCAATTATCTATCCATTCAACAATATATCTATCCATTCAAAAAAATCTATCTATCTATCCCTGTATCTATCTCTGCTTGTATACGACCATATCTATGTATTGGTTTGTTTAGGAAACGCCCTG